TTAGAAATATGGAATTCGATCGAAATTGATGGTTATCATATTACTACAAGGTATGTTTTGGCGGTCGAGCCAACTCTTCCTGATTTTTACAGACATCAAATGATATTCAGAACATGTGCGTGAAAGCCAATCCTTATTTCAAATTCTAAAATGTACGAAAGTGTTTACGTAAACATGGGAGGGGGTAGGAGATTTGCTGTACTTTTGTTAACAAGGGGGTGGTGGGTTAATCATTAGAAAAAATCTGCAACGTAATACTTGAATGGCCTATATGTACTGGCATAAGTGACGCTAACCAATTATAGCGATTTACATGGAATTTTTAGTTATGTAATAATGTACTAATTCTTGCTAAAAGACGCGAACACGATATATTAGTTTTAGAGTTAATTAAAGCAACAACTAAAACAATTACTTATTGACAATTTCTTCGTATACGATAACCAATTTTATAAGTATCAGTCTTATACACTGAGAATCAAATTTGTCTGACGGCTTGAGTGTGAACGAGAGAGAAGTGTGTACTGGCACATAATATGTTATAAAGAGGTAGAAGCCGGCTGGATAGCGCAGCTCATCACCGCATTGCCTAGCAACGCTGACGTAGCAATCTGCCGCGTTGCCAATATGTTACACCAGTTCCTTGAATTAAGATGCATGTTGAACATACACGTTAGTTTATTCTCTACGCCCAAAAATGATATAATTTTGAGCGTGCACATTTTTGAATTGTGAAGTGTGTCGAATCTGTTTAGGATCGATTTCGAATTGCACTTCATTTCAGGTCGAAATGAAAGGTCAGGATCGCCACAAATTCTGCAACATTGCATAATTGGTTCGCTTGGCAACACCATTATCTCGTGCATTCCAAAGCAATGCTTCCACCTCCATGATCATAGTTAAACGATTTTGGCAAGTACCCATCTAGCGCTCATTAGGGAATGTCATCCTGCTTCGAAATGGCTTTTAATTTGAATTGCATAATGGTTATAACTCAGGATGTGTTGATTTTATCACCATCGGTGGAAATAATTCTAAAATAAATTAGAACACTAAGTCGCATCAAAATTGAAGAAATAATTTTAAGCAAAATGAAAACCAAATATTAAATTAAATGTTCGAACAGACCTAATTCTTGGGTTTTATTGTCAAAGCGCCAGATTGCACGACTTTCTGCGTCACCATTGCTAGGCAATGGGGTGATGACCTTCGCTCTTCAGCCGGCTTCTACCTCTTTCTAAAATGTGTTGATACACACTTATTGCGCTTTTCTCCGATAGACAAATTTGGTTTTCCTTGTATAACGTATCCTATCGAAAAACAAACCCCCACCATAAAAATCCAGGTCGAGGCTAGACAACGACTATGAGCATGCAAAATACTGATGTCTGCACTCGCTATCAAAAATTTTTAGGCATTCTCTACAATAAAGGTATTATCATTTAACACTTCAGAGGTCACATGAACAATAAAAGTCCTTAATTAGGTAGACAGCAAAACGAAAATGCAGCACGATACGAGACTGTTAAATTTGTCCTTCAGAAAGTAACTGCAAGAAATAATGTCACCTGCTTGAATATTATTCTGTAATATTTGAATTCGAATTCTCCTACGCATTAAGTATTTATTTAAGTATTATTGCAATTGCATTATTGCAAATCCTTGTATTCAAGAATATTTTGAAATGTAAAATCTGTATACAAGGTGTCCAAGATAAGGATCCTATGCATGTGGATCTCAATGCCTGTGGGAGGTACAGCTTAGGTTAAATTATAAAAAAATATATGTTATTTGGGGAGCATTTACGTGCCGTTGAGCAATTTGTAAAAAATTCATAGCTTACTGAGATATTTGGGATATACTAAAATTTGGCCGAATCACTTTTGTTTTAATTTCAAGAAATATAAAAAAATTAATAAAACTTTTCCATTGTCACTTTTTAGGCACCTCATGATGGTGTTTTTAAATTGCCCTACTGTTCGTATTTGAGGAACCATAATCAACTTTATTTTTTTATATGGTCCGAAAAAAGAACATCTTGTATACCTAACAGCATTTTTTTAAATTTACTTTTTTTTGTTATAAGAAAGAATGCGTATTTTCTGATTTTTTAAGTAGGCGCTGCAAAAAATGCTTCAAGTAAATGCCTGTCACCGAGTATTATTATTATTGTATATTGGTAATATTGCTTATTAACATCAAAGATGTCTGGCGGTTATTTTAGTAATGAAGAAAAGTTCGCCATGGTGACGTGCTTCATTTTACGCTATAAAAATACTAAAATTACTACAGAAATGTATCTTATACATTTCTCGAAGGAAGGCAAGTAAGTCCATTTTCTTAGACCTGGCTCGAAATTTAAATGAATATGGTTCGTTCAAAAAGCCTATTACGTCTCGAAAAAAAAAAGGAATCTTTAGAGCATTGATTCCCAAAGTGGTCTATATCGACCCCTAGGGGTCTATGACAACCTGCAAGGGGTCTACGTCAGCGAAAAAAAAATTGGGGGTCCATGAAATGAATATGGGGGTCCACGATAGATGATCTCAACACATACACCGATAGTACCTATTTACTTACATCATACTATCTTATAATATCAAAACATATACATTATTTATAAAAGTTACATGCCGTTGAACAATTTGTAAAAAATTCATAGCTTACTGAGATATTTGGGATCAACTAAAATTTGGCCGAATCACTTTTACTTTAATTTCAAGAAATATAAAAAAATTAATAAAACTTTTCCATTGTCACTATTTAGGCACCTCATGATGGTGTTTTTAAATGTAGTGCCCTACTGTTCGTATTTGAGAAACCATAATCAACTTTATTTTTTTATATGGTCCGAAAAAAGAACATCTTGTATACCTAATAGCATTTTTTTAAATTTACTTTTTTTTGTTATAAGGAAGAATGCGTATTTTCTGATTTTTTAAGTAGGCGCTGCAAAAAATGCTTTAAGTAAATGCCTGTCACCGAGTATTATTATTATTGTATATTGGTAATATTGCTTATTAACATCAAAGATGTCTGGCGGTCATTTTAGTAATGAAGAAAAGTTCGCCATGGTGACGTGCTTCATTTTACGCTATAAAAATACTAAAATTACTACAGAAATGTATCTTATAAATTTCTCGAAGGAAGGCAAGGAAGTCCATTTTCTTAGACCTGGCTGGAAATTTAAATGAATATGGTTCGTTCAAAAAGCCTATTACGTCTCGAAAAAAAAAGGAATCTTTAGAGCATTGATTCCCAAAGTGGTCTATATCGACCCCTAGGGGTCTATGACAACCTGCAAGGGGTCTACGTCAGCGAAAAAAAAATTGGGGGTCCATGAAATGAATATGGGGGTCCATGATAGTGGATCTCAACACATACACTGATAGTACCTATTTACTTACATCATACTATCTTATAATATCAACACATATACATTATTTATAAAAGTACCTATGAAGTAAAAAATGTATTATATATGTTTATAAAATTGTGTAAGTTGTAGGATGTTGGTATTCGCTTTGTGGTCGCAATACATTTTGAACTTGTAAAAACCTGAGAGTCGCAGTCTCAGAGCTTCGCTACCTTGCACTGACTTGTTCAATTCGTCACTCTATAAATACGAATGTGGGACAAATACGTTTATTCGTTTCCTGAATCTTGAAAAGGAAAGTGCTAGGAAAATATTTTAAAAAATATAAACAGACAGTATATCACACAAATTATAGTGAGTCAGTGTTATTTTGTTTGAGAGTGCTGGAGAAAAGTAAGTACATTATTTTTTATTAAATTTTAGTTTTGTACTCGTAGTTAGCAAAGATAGATAAATTACGCCAATCATGACTTATTAGTAGTTAAATATTCAATCATGCAAAATTACACGAGTACTCCTATTTCTTTTTGAAAGTTTTAGCAATCGGTAATATAATTACAGTGCAATCTCCGTAATTCGAGCTAATTGTTGCAAGAAGATGTTCGCATTATGGAATGTTTTCGGAAAAATCAAAAAATATTTTTAATATACAGCTACTGGATTTTCTGTCTTATTTAAATAATTTAATTTTGCCCACAGATGACTGATGCCATGTCCGAATCTAAAAAGAAATGTAGACAGTACAGTCTTGATTATTTGAAATTTGGCTTCATTCCATCATTGCCGGACAAACAATCGCCTATGTGCCTTTTATGCAACAAAGTTTTGGGCAATGACGCTATAAAACCATCTAAACTGCAAGATCATCTGAGAAGATGCCACCCTGATAAAACATAGAAAGATTTGAAATACTTTCAAACACTCAAAGATAAATTTCAGAAGAGACCTACACTGCACAGAATGTTCGCTTCGACGTCACAAAGAAATGATGATGGTTTGCGGGCGTCTTACAATATCTCGTTACTTATAGCAAAATCCGGAAAACCGCATACTATCGGAGAGAAGTTAATTTTGTCAGCCGTTGAAGAGGTTTTAAAAACTGTTTTACACAAACCTGCATCTGATATCATTAAAAGAATTCCCTTAAGCAACAATACTGTTGAAAGACGTATTGATGAAATGCGTTCTGATATTGAAAGCTTCTTATGTAATTATTTGCAAACGACCCATTTCTCTATACAACTGGACGAGTCAACTTTACCTGATATGCAGCATTATTATTGGCATATGTTCGTTTTATTATGAATCAAGAAATCTACGAAGAACTGCTCTTCGCAAGAACTTTGATAACCGACACTAAAGGTGAATCAATATTTCATGTTTTGAAGGATTACTTCATTGAAAAAGCAATTCCTTTATCAAATATAATATCAGTAGCTACAGATGGAGCACCTGCCATAGTTGGACGTTATCGTGGATTTATAAGATATTTAAAACAAAATGTGTCAGGGGTGTTAGCAATACATTGCGTCATCCATCGACAACATTTAGTTGCTAAAAATTTGAGTGTTAGATTGCATGAATCACTTCATTTAGTCATTGATGCAGTAAACCGAATCCGAAGCAACGCGTTGAATACGCGGTTATTTGCGCAGTTGTGTGAAGAAAATGACGAACACTTTCATCAATTATTCCTTCACACTGAAGTACGCTGGCTGTCGAAAGGCTTATGTTTGAGAAGATTTTTTGCACTTTTTGAGACTATTTTAGAATTTCTGGATACTAAAGATAAAATTTTAAAAGAAAATTTAATGAAGAGGAAAACAGACATTGCCTATTTAACAGATTTGTTTACAAAATTAATATGGTTAATTTGCAATTACAAGGCGACAGTTTAAATTTGATTAAAACAAAGTCCATCTTATCAGCGTTTCTTGCCAGAGTTAAACTAATGAAGCAAAATATTGGACGGGGCGAATTTTCTCAGTTCCCCAATTTGTCACAGACAAGCTGCCAGGAAGACGACGTTTCAACTGACGTTCAACATTTAAATGCCCTCTATTCAGATTTTGAATCTAGGTTTGAGGATATTTTGACTATGGTAATACCACCGTGGATAATTAATCCATATGGTGACATAGAAGAAACGAATGTCATAATACAAGAGGAACTGACTGAACTAAGTACAAACGAAGAACTTAAGGTTCAGTTTAAAAACTGATATCAGCAATTCTGGCTGCAAAACAACATACCCGTTACTTATCCCGTATTATGGAATATAGCGAGGAAATTTTTAATTTCCTTTCCATCCTCATACCTAGTGGAAAGGGGGTTCAGCGCTGTTACCAATCTCCTAACGAAAAAAAAAAACCAGACTGGACATCATTAGCCGAGGAGATTTAAGATTAACCCTTACAAAATTGACGCCAAATGTTGATAATTTATTATTAAAGCATGAGGTTCATGTTATTTTATTTATAGTTTATTTAATGTTTATTGGTGTCTGACCAAAAAATGCCCGCATTGGGAACAAGTGCCCGCATTGATTTTTTTAAAAAAACCCCCTTTATAGAAATTTTCTTTTTAAATTATTCTCAAAATTCAAGGATAGGTACACACTAAAATTCGTTAATTTTTGCCTATTTTTAGATAACTTAAACGTATAAGAAGCGGAATTTAATCAAACTAACAGTGAAATTATTGTAGGACATACGTTTATGTTATAATTAATAAACGAACTCGCTTATTGTACTATTTTAAGTAAAAAACTTTTTTTTTATTATTTTTCACTTTTTTTTTATTTTATCCCTCTTATTTTTTTTTCAATGCGGGCACTTATTCCCAATGCGGGCACTTATTGGTCAGACACCTGTTTATTTAATGTTACGTATATTTTACATAACAGATACAAAATTTTATTTCGAGTAGTTTTAATTTAAATTCAATTAATAAATGTATAAATTAACATGTGTTTTTACTTTAAGTTTTTAACACAAAACTTCACTACAGTTAGAAATTTACAGGAACTCAATATCAGGTAAGTAGGGGGTCTACCCAACCAACACGGAAAACATGGCAAGGGGTCTACGACACAAAAAAGTTTGGAGAACTCTGCTTTAGAGGATCAACGTTTTACAAGCATTTGCTGAGAACTCTTAGATATCAACTAGGCAAAATGAGAAAAACGTAGAAGTAGCCAAATCCACAGGCCAATTTAATTTGAGTAATAATAGATAGCACTCCTATAAATTCACGATTTGCCAAAGATAATATTAAAGAAAAAAACATTTTTCTTTATAACTAAGAAAAAATCTAACCTGATACACCCTTGAATTCGTATAAAAAGATGCATACAGACACAGGGTGTACTTTTTTCGCACCATATAAAAGAAGTTGATGATGGTTTCTCAAAAACAAAACGTCGAGCACAAAATTTAACACCATAGTATAGTGCTTATGCATTTAAAAAGTTACGGATTTCCATCATGGGTACTGACCAGAGTTTTAACAAAATTATTAAATCTTCAGTTTTCGCGAAATAAGTACACAAATGATCGCCTAGAAATATGTTTGATAACTTACGACCAGATACTAAAATATTATATTAATATTCGCTTCTATTAATGAATTGATTAGAAAACCAGGTATGTCATACATAAAGAAGGTAATATGGCTCAAAGGTGTGTTTTATTCAATTTTGACTGAAAAACCATTTTTTAATATACCTTATGAGCATTTGCTACCATATTGAAATAAGTAAACATCCTAACGAATTTGTGTCTCGTATAAGTGGCGTGCATCTTCGATCTGTTTGCCTTCCAAGTTACATAAACTAACTAACCATCTGGCTGTTGCATGCCCGGCGTAATAGATCTCAAAAAGTCATCGGGAGTCATGTAAATGTCATCGCCTTGGACTTGAAGGGTAGCGAAATAACGGAACACTTTGTCCGGAGTCGAAAAGTGTCTGATGCGATTTTCATACTCTATGATCTGACGAAGCATGCATGAAAGAAAACGAGTATTAGTAGGAAAAGTTGTTTAGAGTACACATTTGCTCAAAATGATATTCCCGTACCCCCTATAAATAACATTGTTTCATGAAGTGTGATGAAGCATAAGAAAATGTGTTAATGTTAGTAAGATTTTATTATACCATATACTGTAGCGGCAGTGTTAGCGGTTTAGTAATGACCTAAAATAGCCTCAGTTCAGAGTTGAATGATATCGGAATCGGCTGTTGCAACTAACCTATCACAATAAACTTTCTACAAATTGTTTGAATACTTTAAAATAATTAACCTATTTTAAGACTTCATTCGAGAGATACTGAGCTAAATGTTTATAGTCATTACTCAATTCAAATCATAATAGTAGACCTGAATCAGAATAAAATAATATATGATATAACGGGAAATGGTAACTCGAAATTTATTGTGAGTGACATTTTTTATTAAGATAATGTAACTGGCACCTAATATTTATTCTTAACTACTACGTTCTCCATAAGGTACAACAAAACATTTTGTAGTTATTTTTGTAATCCATTTACATGCTTGGTCTGAAATTTACGAAACGACGGAATGATAAGTTATCACTCACAAAAATGAGATCAAATCGATCTTCCGTACTCACAGCGCAGTTAATTCCTGGGATATGGCATGGCCCAACTAATACCCATTATTTACATTTTAACACCCATTATACTAGTTGACATGTTACAACATTAACAGCGATTATATCAGTGTTATTATTTTGTGAACAGATAGCTAGGTTTTGGCTATCAAATCCGAGAAAAATCAGTTCCACAGTGGCGAACGAACTATACCGCGCCGCACCGGAAAATTTAGATCAGAACATATTTTTATTATAAATGAATTAAATGCTAATAACAAATGCTCATAACACATTTTTTTATAAATCAGATGTCTTCTCGCATAAGAAACCGCTTAATTATATTCGCGCATAGATATTCCAAATTGAAAAATAATTATGAAACCTGGAACATACTATGTACACATTAAATATTGCACAGCCAAATCGAGTACATCTAAATTACTGTGTTTATTTATGTAAAACCCCGAAACAGGTCGATTACTAAGCTTTGATCGAGTCAAAGAATATTATATTCCATTTGGCTGATGCACACTGTATAAGTGTTAGTCAGCTGCGCATTTCCGTTACCAGCATTTTGGCATGTTATAGTAACATTAGTTTTGCTTGCATTGCTTTGTCCACACCAGTTTGTAGCATGTTTCAGAGAATCAATCAAACACTTATAAGGGATAAATATGATGATCCAACTGACAAAAATATGTTTTGGGCTAGCAACCTACCAGGATTTAGTAGGCTAGAGTAACTATGACAGTTGTAATGGAGGTGAATTTCATCAGCTTCATGATTGCCATGCCAGAAGTATGTATAAAAGAAACAAGTCTTTAGGTCAGAAGATAGAGGTTACGCAGGGTGTCCCTAAAGTCGATGTCAATCCGGAAACGGGGGATGGGCAGTCATAACAGATATCACAAAGATAAAAAATAATAATTGGTGTACATTTCAAATTATAGCCTTTAAAAAATCGGAAGAATCTACACCCTTTGATGATGATCTTTTAGTTCCCATTACTACAAACTAGACGGAGTGACGGACGCTGTTATTCTACGTAGTGACATCAAGACATATATTAACGCCACTTTATGAATTCATGATTCTGTAGTGCCATCATTTATGGGGAATGTAGATGCAATGCTACTCCTGCAGCTAGGCTTTATCGTTAGAGCTACCCAACTGCTGCTCGTCAACCCGATCACCGTGTTTTTGGCACCAAAGCACCCCTTAAACTTACGCACTTCCTCCTCTTTGCTATTTCCCCTTCCTTCGTTTCTTCCTTCCTGATTCGTCTGGTATATGGGCAACCAGCACTTGGTGAAGATAGAATTTCCATTCCTTTCGACGACGTAGTATGCCAAGCAGTCGAAGAAGACCCGAGTACAGTACGTCGAATAGAAGCCCAAAAGTACAGCCCACCGAATCTTGCGAAAGAACGAGCTCCACCCGTACCACTGACAGCGAGTACAGTCTCTAAAACCCCGGGATTATCTTACAAAAAATGAGTTTTGTCAAACAATGTTACAGAGACACCGGGAAGATTCGCGGTTTTTAGAGAAAAGGTTATGAACTGATGAGTCGACATTTAAAACAGATGGTTACATGAATCTACAGAGTTTACAAGAGTGGCATGTAGAAAATCCTCATTTGTTGAGACAAGATCACAGAATCGTTTTAAAGTAAACATGTGAACCGGAATTCTAAATGGGAGTATCATTGTACTCTTTGAGCTGACAGAGTTCTTGAATGTTAGAATTCATTTAGACTGTACAAAATCATTTACCAAATTTATTTGACTCATTTATAGAGACATGTACTGATCTATAGGGCGGTCTGGTACAATTTCGTGGCCAGGCCGTTGACCTGACTTAAATCCACTCGATGTTTTTAATGAGGAGCGGTGAAAAAAAAAGTTTACTCAAAGCTAATCAGAAATTTAGCAGAACTACGGGACAGAATAAGCAGCACAATTTGTTAATAACGGAAAATTAGCCCGTCTGATAACACGATCATTTTTAAGAAGAGGTCAAGCTTGCATTGGTGCTGAAGAAAGGCAGTTCGAGCGTTTATTGTGACATTTACGAATTAATAAAAGTGGCACTACTGTCTTGCTGTCTCTACGAAGAATGGCACTGTCCATCACTCCGTCTAAGAAAAAATTAAAATTTGTAGTAATGGAAACTAAAAGATCACCACAGGTTGTACATTTTTCCGATTTTTTTAAAGCCTATAATTTAAAAAGTACACGACTTAGAAGTTTTATATTTTTTTGATAACTATTATGACTTGGCCTATCACCCGTGTCCGGCTTGACATCGGCTTTTGGGACACCCTGTATTGGTAATTTTTCTCATACAGCATACATATACTAAGTATTATTTTTAACATTTTTGACGCTTGCGTGTTAATGTCACACGAAATAAGTAAACTGATCGACTGACTGTATCGGTTCTACTCAGTTTTATCTGCTCTATCTGGATGATTGGTTTCGGTTAGTTTGACTTTATTTATGGAATATTTACTGCACAAATGTATCAAAGGGCTGAAACCTCAAAACTCAACGAGGCCCAATAAATCAAATATTAGGTTTTAATCTATATGAAGAGATAAGAAAAGCTGGAGTCAATGCCCCCTTTAACATTCAATTAATACTTGCAAATATCAACATGAAAGTCATATACCTATTAACCTACTTCATTCAGACAAATAAAATAATATTATAACTGTTTCAGATCCCCATCTTTTAAAACCCTGAGTGCTAATCCTTTTCCGAGGCAACATTTAGGGTGTGTGTAATGTACCTCCGTTGCCCGGGTACGAGGAAAGTCTATACCTGTGTTGTGCTATCTGTCTGACTAACCTCCCCAAACCACTTTAGAAAGCAAAAGTAAAGGTTTTCATCAATCATAAATAGCAACACCTCAGCTCTAGAAACAATACAGCAGAAGATATAGATACCTATATTTTACAGCATTTCTACACGTGAATTCGAGACAATACAGTGACTCGTACATGGCTGAGAGCCAGACAAAGTACAGTCACAACAAATGAGCTGGCGGATTGTACACGTGTACAGAAGCCATAAGGAATAAAGAAGAAGTACGAGTCCCAAGATGCATTGCATTTCGCAAATTCAATCATATTGGCCAAAACCTCACTTTCACATAGAGCAGACAGCTCAGTAAGACCGATACTGCAATATAGTGACTCAAACGGCCCACATTTTGTGACACGTTGAGTTTTGGAGGTTTCTGCCCTGTAAGACATTTGTTCAGGATACCGAGATAAATAAGATTCCACAAATTCAGTCCTATTGAACAAATATTTTTGCAAAGAGCAACTAGCTGAGTAGAACCGATACTTAGACCGCCTAAATCCATCGGATCCATTTGTTTTGGAATTTCCCTATTGAGTTATTTACTCTGAACACCGAGGCACATGACATATCAAAAATTCAACGAAATTAACCGAAACCACTTTTCCCATGGGCTTATCGCACGGATTGGTACGCTTTGTATCGAATATCAACAAAACATTATAGGCAAGCGTGGATGTCGAAGACGCATACGATGCTGAGAAAGTTCTCAAGGTGGAGAAACAAAATAAAAAAACGTATGTCTGTGAGCTTACACAAACAAGCTATAACCCGCCAAAATCCGTGGAAAGACGTATACTCATAAGGCAGGCAAAACAGTTGTGAAGTTAGCATCTAGTTAAGAAAGTCAAAAAGTTTTAAATGAATGTATTGGCCACTTCGGTATCATATCGAATATCCATTAATCTTGCACTGGGTGATTTTTTCACAGAATATTGGTTTTCTGCTTGTAAAATACCAATGGTGTGTTTGATTAAGCCTCTTGCTGGATAAGGATCAAGATTAATCACTGATTCACAGCGTCCACTGGTTAGAAGTTGGCCATCACCATTTTTGAACATGCCATGATATATTTACCATCTGGTTGTTTCATGCCGGGTGTGATTGCCCTCAAGAAATCATCAGGAGTCATGTATACCTCAGTCGTATCATTCTGGATGAGCTTAACAGTGGCAAAATATCGAAATATCTTATCTGGTGTGGAGAAAGCTCTCATTCTATTTTCATATTCGATTATCTGTTGATTTAGTTTAATTTTACACATCACTTTCCCAATTGAAAAAGCATCTTTAAAATTATAGTTGTGGAGAATATATACAGGATACAGTGTATGTGGAAGTTAGCGTCAAAACCATTATAAATAGAGAAAAATTATTTTCTTAGAAATTGTCTTACGCTACCTACGAAAGATTTAGATATCTTGAAAAATATCTGCTGATACTGGACAGTTCCAGCTTTGAGAAGTAGCTTCAGGACAGTCCGAGGTGCTAAGAATGAATTGTTATCATTTCCTGCTAAGCATCATTGACAGCTGTCAAAATTGCATATAATCAAGTGTAAAAAGTTTTCAAATGACATTACTCTGTTTTCTCAGTACTGACATAGCACTTCATGCTATTTGTGGAGATAATAGCAAGGATTTGGTTACTTCAGCAATGTTTGGCAATATAGATGGAGAACCTTCGTCTTTTAATCTAGTTATATGATCTAGATTTCATCAGTTAAAAGCTCGCTCAACGCAGAAAGGGAGAACCTGAAACTTCGCACCATTGAGTAAATTGACTGCATTTCTCACTAAACGCTACCATCAGTTCATAAAGGATGTTCGGCACAAGTTAGCTCTCCTGACAAATGAAAATGAAAATAGTTATCATTCGGAGTTTTAAGGACAAATGTATCCTCCCCCACCTCAATCCCAACCCACATTTTTTACCCATATAGATTTTTCTCTAAATGTTGATCAAGAAACGAAGTTTGTGCAATATCTATTTTTTTTTTACTGTCTGCAGTTCCACCACTACTGGATCGATATTGAAAAACTACAGTTATTTTGTCCCTACGTCAAAATTCCATCAACATTCAACCAGTAAGGGAAGTTCCTAGTTGGCATTTTGTATAAAAACCTGCATAATGTCATAAAAAACCTACATACGAGGGATGTCTTTTATGTTTTGCATATAGAAACATAGTAGGCCGCGCGGATCGAACGTCAGTACTGGATCTTAATCTCACTCTTTAGTAAACTTAAAGTCAAAGTTTCATAGCAATACGTGCAGTGTTCTCACTACAGAAACAATTATCGCAACAAGAATGCCTTGCTGAGTTACTGTCTGTTTTCGGCAACGAAGCGCCACATCAGTCGAAAATTTCCCGTTGGTATGGAGAATTCAAACGTGGACGGGTGAGTCTTAGCGACGATTCCAGGGTGGGTGCACAAAAAACGGCAGTCACCCAGGAAAACGTCGATGCTGTGCGCAAACTCATCATTGCAGATAGACATGTGACATATTGCGAGATTGAGGCGTCCTTGAAGATCTCAAAGACCTCAATTCAAAAAATTTTACATGAAGAATTAGGAGTAAGAAAATTAGTTTCTCATTGGATACCCTACCTGTTGACTGAAGAGCAGAAAGCAGCCAGGGTTAATTGGTGTCAAAAAACGATTGACCGTTTCAATTTCGGAAACTCAAAAAATGTGTACAGCATTGTTAGTGGTGATGAATCGTGGATTTACTGTTATGAACCAGAAAATAAACGACAGTCGGCTGTTTGGGTGTTCCAAGGTGAAGAAAGGCCAACAAAAGTCATCCGTTCTCGAAGTGTTTCTAAAAAGATGGTCGCGACATTTGTGTCAAAAGCGGGTCATATTGCAACATTTCCTCTTAATGAGCAAATAACTGTTACTGCGGATTGGTATACCACCATTTGTTTGCCAAAAGTCATCACTGAGCTTCGAAAAATCAACCCCGAAAGAAGATTCATCCTCCACCAAGACAATGCAAGCTCGCACACAGCCCAAAAAACAAGGCAGTATTTATCGGAAGAAAACGTGGAATTATTGGATCATTCTCCATATAGTCCCGATCTAAGTCCTAACGATTTCTTTACTTTCCCGAAAATTAAAAACAGACTGCGTGGTCAAAGGTTCCAGTCACCAGAAGAAGTAGTTGACGCATTCAAAACTGCCGTTCGGGATCTGCCAGCAAACCAGTGGAATAGGTGCTTCGAAAAACAATAAAGTCATTTAAAACTACCTACCGTGGTGTTTTATTTCCATATGCAAAACTTAAAAGATATCCTTCGTAATGTTAAAAAACCGTCATAATGTCACTTTTTTAGTTACGTAAATACCCCTGCCGGTTTATCCAATGAATTCGAATATACTAGAAGGTATTGGTTACCTTGCATTGTTTGTCAACAAAACTGTGTAGCTGTAGTGCATACTTTTGGCTAATTTCCCTATCATTACCTACCAGTGAGAAACAATTACATCAGCGTTCATTTTTTCTCGGGAGAGGATATTCAAGTAGCCAATCGTACTAGGGTCTGCTCAGGTACAACAGGCCGGTAATACTATCTGTGCTGCGATGTAAATCGCGCAGTTATTGTCAATAAACAAGGAAACATGAAATAAGGCAAAGAAATTAAAGCAATAATATTTATTAACTTGCTTGAATTGTACTCGATTTGTCTAAATATACTAAGTGACATATAAATCCGAACACCCAGTTTAAATGGTTTTATTTTAATAAAAGTTGGTGAATGTATTTATCTTACTGTAAATAACAAGTGAAAAAATTTTCGCCTTATCAGTTGGACATGCCGGTTTTTATACTGCTTTTATTTTTAATTCACTAACGCTCTAAAAATGAATATTTCAGCCGCAGTAAAGAATCAACGTTGGCGGATTTTGGTTCTTGACATCCTTTACGATCGGTTACGATGCCTAGAGTACGGAGACCTGTACGATTTCGTCAACTTAGTGAGTTTGATAGGGGCCGTATAGAGGGACTTCGGGAAGCTGGACTTTCTTTTCGGGCAATTGCAGTTAGAGTGCAAAGAAGTGTAGACACTGTGGTTAGGTGTTGTCAGGCATGGCTTCGAGAAGGCCGTACGCAAAGAGCAAGGGGCACTGGACGCCGCCGTAGAACAGACCGTGAAGATCGCCGCCTAAGGTTATTGGCGTTAAGGGACCGTTTCTCCACTACCAGGTCCATTGCAAATGAATGGTTTGCAGAACACGGAAGACCTATTGGCATGCGAAGTGTTTACCGACGAATGAGAAGTTTTGGCTTGTTTTCATACCGGCCACACTGGGTCCTCCCTTTAACTCGAGAACACCGACGTAATCGCCTTGAGTGATGCAGACAACGGTCACTCTGGTATCAGGTCTTTAGTGACGAGTCTCGATTTTGTTTAGGCATGCACGATGGTCGTGCCAGGGTTAGAAGGCGACGTGGTGAAAGGAGGAATCCACAGTTTTTTGTTGAAAGACATGTTCATCACACTGTTGGAGTTATGGTTTGGGGTGCTATAGCTTATGGTTCCAAGTAACCTTTAATCTTCATCAGAGGTAACATGAACGCGCAGCGTTATATCCACGAAGTTCTAGAACCCCATCTTTTACCCTATCTTGACACCCTGGCAGATCCAACTTTCCAACAAGATAATGCCCGGCCACATGTTGCAAGAGTCACAATAGACTTCTTTCAACATAATGATGTCACATTGTTACCATGGCCACCAAGATCTCCCGACTTATCCCCAATTGAGCACGTGCGGGATATGATGGGTAGGAGATTGCTCAATTTGCAACGTCCTCCTCAGACTCTAGAAGCACTTCGAGAGGAGTTGGTGGTTGCCTGGAATGAGATACCACAGGAGCACATTGACCACCTGATCCGAAGCATGCCTAGGCGCGTTGGAGTGGAGAATGCGTAGCACATCAGGGTCAAAGGGCTTTAAAGCAGTGCAATCATTTTGAAATTTTTATCATTTACTTATTATGCTTCATTAAGTACTTATACAAAATTTTATTAAATAAAACCAGTTAAACTGGGTGTTCGGATTTATATGTCACTTAGTATAGTTGTGATCACATTAGATTCTTGGAGAATTATATCATTGTCACTATATTTTTCTAACAAAAAGATGTAGAAGCAGTTTAATTAATTTGATGTTAATATTTCCTAAGAGTTTTTAGATTGAAATGTTTTGCATTTTTCAGCGTTTTTGTTAGGTATACAAACAACATGTTAACAAACCTTAGATTAGGAATGATCACTCAAAATATATTAACACCTTTTGATAAAAAGATCTGGTCAGTTTAAACTGCTTTTTGCATTCCACAGAAACCTTCATTTTCAGCAATTATGTGGAATTCTAGGATTGCATGGAACACATGTACCTTTGTTTTGCAGAAAAATACGAATTTGATGTGAAATGGGCTTCTTAAGCCTCATCGACTTGTAGTCATAGCTTCGTAATATTAGTTCAACACAAGTTGTATACTTGCTCCATCTGCCTAGTCTGAATTCGTTGGGTTAGTCATCTGACTAATAGCTATGAGCTAGAGTCATAGTCAGAATTGTTAGTAAGTATATATATAGTTTATATGTAATAAGGACGTTTTAATTGTTGTTTTATTTTTTGTCGCTTTCTAAACTCAAGTTATTTCATTTTGTTGTGCAATTAATTCATTGTGGATAATGTTGATTTTCGAAGATTTAAGTGATGATGGTGATGTAGAAAAATTGAGAGTTTTTGGAGTATGGAGACGGTCAAGCAGGATTAGAAAGTAAAGAGAGTATCTCGACTTGCTTGATAATTCAGATCTCTATTGAAGAAAGATACAACAAATTTTAATATGTGTACTTATTTTGGTCAAATTCAACATTATGTGTTTAATGAAAACTAAAATACTTTTATGTACATCATGTATGTGCCTTAAAACCTTTTGAATAGTGGGGTGAGACCACCTTTCCAGGAAGGGGGCAAGGCTCAGAGATCCTAAATCATTTACAAAATACCATGAAAAAATATGAGAATTTTTGAAACACAGTAATGCATAAATTTCTAACAGAGCATGAAAGGATGACCAGGAAACGGATTTTGTGCGATCAGCTTGAAAATCGATTAAATAACTGTTTACATAATATTAGTATTTACATTAGATTACCCGCCTTTTTTTAGACATGGTTCGGCAATTTGACCTTTCCAGTAAAGTAGGAAAATTTAGATTCTAGTAATTAATGTAACTAGCATATCAAAGTGAACAGAAACTCATCTATATGAAAGAAATTAAACGAGAAAAATTGAAAATACTTAGTCATGATGTTATACTTTATTTTTATGGTGATAACAGCTACTATAAATAGTGTAATAGCACAATACGTTTTTCACGGATACTACAATTGTGTGAAATTCCTTGCGACCTGCAGAATAGATTCCTCCTGCAGCAATAACTTCAACCACTCTCTAGACACGAATGCACTGTCTACGTTGCAAAATTTAATGAAATAACCAAATACCTACATGCAATTTTCTCGGCAAAAAACGACCCATGAAGTACTATGTCAATTGAACGGAAACTTAATTCTCCATCAAATAGTCATGAGAAAACATGGTAGTGCTATTTAAAAAATCTGTAATTTTTGCATTTGAATATGTGCAACTTTTTCAAGTATGTTTTGGGAGAACAAAGAGTAATTTATTTATAATACCTCAAACAGCTGCTCAAACTATCCGTCAAAGTCCTCAAGGAATCTGAATTTTTCAAAAGAAGAGCAAGCCAAAAATTGTCCAGGAATTGGTAAATAACATGTGATTGTATGTACCATAAATCATAAAGATATGTACCCGGCCTAGGCGAAACACCCTGTATGGTCGAAAGTAATTTTAGGTTCATAGAGAGTACAATATATGGACAATCTTGAAAAATATTTTTTTCAAGTATAATGATTTGGCCACTATCCTCCGCATACTCTCAGAAGTGGTGCAACCAGTAAACAGGGTGTCCAAGAAAAGGATCCTATGCATGAGGAAAAAGTTGCGTTTATTTGCTGAGATATTTGGGAAAAACTAAAATTTGACCAAATCATTTTTATTTTTCTGACTTTATCTACAAAAATGTCAAAAAATAATGGAACCTTTAAATTGGCACTTTTCAGGCACTACATGAAGGTGTTTTCAAATTTTGTGCCGACGGTTCGTTTTTGAGAAACCATCATCAACTTTTTTTTATATGGTCCGAAAAAAGTACCCTATGTCTAATAGCATTTTTTTAAAGGAACTCAACGATGTATCACATGTTACATTTATTTTCTTGGTTATAAGGAAAATTCATTTTTTCTATTTTTTTTTAAGTAGGCGTTGCAAATAAATTAATCAAATTAAAATTGAGTATAATTACTTTTTCCTGTGTGTATAGACACATACATCCGGTAAATAGTAGGACAAAAAATAGGGACGATAGGGGAAGGGCAGATCTACAACATACCAAAAAATGATCCTAGTAAAAGTTTCACTGTTTTTGAGATATTAATTTTTTTGTCTCTCTTTTTTAATCTAACTTTTTTTGCTGTACCTAGAAGTAACAGGATATGTTTTTTTTGCAAGATAGTTAGTTTGCCATTTGAAATATCATTTTCGATAAATACAAGCAGGTAAACTTGACTGCTACTGCAAAGTACTGCGATAAATTACCTGCTTAATCAGCAACAAAAGGTAGGTCAAATGAGGACATTTTCAAAAAAGACAAAAAAAATATCTCAAAAACAGTGAAACCTTTACTAGGATCATCTTTTGGTATGTTGTAGATCTGCCTTTCGCCTCTCTTCCCCATTTTTTTGTCGTACTATTTACCGTTGTTAGGAAGAGACAGAAGCCGGCTGGATAGCGAAGCTCATCACCGCGTTGCCTAGCAAACCTAATATGATCCTTGAATTAAAATACATATTGAAAGTATGTGTTATTTTATTCTCTACGCCCAAATAGTGTGTTTTTACTTTGAGCGTACACATTTTTGAATTGTGAATTGCGTCGAATCCGTTAAGGATCGATTCCGGATCGGAACGGCGCTCCATTTTAGGTCGAAATGAAATGTCCGGACTGCCACAAATTCTGCAACACTGCATCATTGGTTCGTTCGGCAACACTGATTCTCGTCGCTAGTATGCGAGTATCATCCTGCTTCAAAATGGTACCCGTAAGCAATGATAATGCGTAATGGGATTTGTTAAATTTCACGACCACTCGGAGTCGCAAAAAGTAACAATAACTTAGGATGTGTTGATTTTATCACCATCGGTGCAAATCAAAGATAATGCTAAAACAAATTAAAACAATAAGTCGCATCAAAATTGAAATAAATTATTCTGATCACAACTAAATCTACATATTAAATTAAATGTTCGATTAGGTGTTCTTCTTGGGTTTGACAGTAACCTAAACTATTTCAGAAGCCTGTGCGAACATTTTCTGATGTAACATACTGGCAACGCGGCAGATTGCACTACCTTCTACGTCACCGTTGCTAGACAATGTGAATGACCTTTGCTCTTCAGCCGACTTGTATCTCTTTCTAACATGTGTTGACATACTTCTCGCGCTTTTCTCTGCTGCAAATTGAACTCAAGCTGTCAGACAAACTTGGTTTTCCCTGAATACCTAACAGCTCAACAACTAATAATATAATAAAAACTCGTATGTTATATCAATCGTCATCTTTTATAAGGGCCTATCCGAATATGTGACAAAATGTAGGGCATTCCAATTAACAAATATCAATTTTGATATGTGGGTAAAGCTAGGACACCCTATAATTGTGAATATTTCAGAAATGTGCACCCAGATAAAATATACCAAAACCTATAAATTGTTTTGTTTGAATAAAGCTTTTGTTTATGAGCAATACACTGTCCTTTCATAGTTGGGACACCCTGTTCATGGACTTTTATTAAGATTTTTCATCTTGTGGATTCCAATGCTTGATTGCCGTATTAGATACAGATTAAACTGCAATACAATTTGTAATCATATAATGATCAAAAGTTCTCTTTTTTATTCATATTGGAAAAAACAAAGTCTACTAGAACAAAATATATATGTTTTATTCACCAAATGGAAATAGCAACATAATACATACTCGTCTATTCAAAACTATGGACCAGCTATGAAATTTTAAATTATATTTGATGTAATATATGTCTTATGGGTACCATAAGATTCTATACAAAAGTATTTAATGAAACATTTTAATATTTATCATTAAATTACCTTCCTGTCTCTAAAACCAACTTTTTCCTTCCGCTTTTTTTTCTTGACCCCATCTTCACCACTTTCATCTTCAATTTTGTTATCCATTTGAATGCTATCACTGACTGGTTCACTTTCAGCTCTGACAGACAGACAGTCTTTTATCCTATAACATCATAATAAATGATAAGATATTAGATAATTATATCAGTACAATCGTTACTTTCAGGGATCAAAAGTTTGAACATACTGATTTCCTAACCTAGACTTATGTCCCCACAAATATGACATAGTGGCGATGTAGGAATTTCTCTTATGCTCTACCAACAGTTCTGACCATCTGATAACGATGCTCTAACTGTGCTATTTTTATTATGTTATTTGGATTAAGCAAATAGAAATAGGTTTTTCTGTCTTCAATTTTTTTCTTGCCTAGTTTTCGAGAAAAAGAAGTTTACTTAATTGCATATCTCTGGACCACACAAGGAATATGGAGAAAAGTTTCTTTTGGAAATCATTTTTTTATAATTTTTTATTGCCCATTATGTAATAACAACAACAAATACTAAATAACATTAACACCTAGACCAGCGGTTCCCAACCTTTTTCTTTCTGCGAACCGCTTATAAAAATTGGAATCTATCGACGAACCCCCTGAGCAGTCGTTAGTGAGAGTAAATAAAACGGTACTATTTGGCTGTTATCAAAATTTATTAATCATATGAATAATAGTTATAATGAGCCAAGTAAATAAAAAGATAACTGTAACTTAAAACATTTAGAGAAACGTTATTAAAACTAACAAAGCCATACAAAAAAAAGGATTAATATAATATGAATACAAGTAATTCAATACTTGCAATAAGCCTCAATGGGATATTTGTGCCTTTTTTGGAACAAAAAAATTCAAAATTTTGTTCAATGTCTGAAAGCTTAAGACTTATATCAGGTTCTGCATTTAATCTAAAGGGTTGTCCAATAGGGACGCAGGAAAGTAAACGTCAATTTGACATAGACGCCATCTTTGTTTTCTGTCACCGACATGTCATTTTGTTAGTTGAATGTTTACCATTGATCGCTATGGAGTCGTATTCGATTGAAGACCGCATTAAAGTTATTCAAGAACACTACAAAAATGGTGCAAAAATAAAAAACACGTTTCGCGCGCTTCGTGAACATTTCGGTCACAACAACCGCCCAAACGAAACAACCATCGGACGTCTGGTGCGTAAATTCGAGGCAACAGGTTCTGTGGCAAATCTGCCAGGCTCTGGCCGACCAAGGAGCGTTCGCACACCGGAAAATATTGCTGTTGTGAAGGAGAGTGTGAGAGGCGATCCGAAACAATCAACAACGCGTCGATCCCAAGAATTGGGCATTTCGAGAACCAGTTTGCTCCGCATTCTCCACAAGGATTTGAATGTACACGCCTACAAGATCCAATTGACGCAAGAGCTGCGTCGGGCCGACCATTTTTCGCGCCGAACGTTCTCAGATTGGCTCCTTGAACACCGCCAAATTGATGCCAATTTTTCATCAAAAATCATGTTCAGTGACGAAGCGCATTTCACTTTGAATGGGACGGTAAACAAGCAAAACTGCCGCTTCTGGGCGAACGAAAAACCCCGTGAGCATCAAGAGCAGCCGATGCATCCTCAAAAAGTGACTGTGTCGTGTGCATTGTGGTCAAAAGGCATCATCGGACCTTACTTTTTCGAAAATGCGGCCGGGGACGCCGGTACCGTCAATTCTGAGCGATATCACGTGATGATGGAGGACTATTTTTTGCGGCAACTTGAAGGAATAGATATGGGCGATGTTTATTTCCAACAAGACGGTGCAACATGCCACACAACCATCGTCAATATCCATCGATTGCAGTCCTTCTTCGGTGATCGCGTGATTTCGCGCAGAGGAAATGTGCCATGGCCACCAAGATCGTGCGATTTGACTCCCTTGGACTTCTTTTTATGGGGATATTTGAAAAGCAAAGTCTACGTCAACAAACCAGCCACACTCCAAGAACTCGAAAACAACATTATTGCCGAGATAAATGCCATAGAACCGACCATGTTGCAAAATGTCATTGAAAATTTCGACCATCGCGTGGACGTCTGTAAATCCAGTCGTGGTGAACATGTGAGCGATATTATTTTTCATACATAAATGGTATAAATGAACCTTCAAAATAAAGTACCCAACTTGATTTGAATATCAATCTTTCTTGTTTTAATATGCGTTTACTTTCCTGCGTCCGTTTTGGACAACCCCATATTTCTGTACTTATCTTTGAGGTAAGTGTATGTTGAAAATCCTTTCTCACACAGATATGTTGTAAAGAACGGAAACAAAATTTTCATGGCTTTTTCTGCTAAGATAGGGTATTCATTTTTTACATTGAGCCAGAAGTCTATTAAAGAATGATCTGCAAAACAGATTTTAGAGTATTGTCAGAGGATAAATCAATGAGCTATTTTTTCCAATAAAGATAAAGAAGTGTTAGAATTTATATCTCCTTCAAAATGATTGCATATCTAGTTGTTTGATCCACGTTTATTAAGAAAATACTCTTTGAGCATTAATGAAGCTGTTTGTGATGCTCAGTAACATATCTTTTAATGTTTTCGTTAAGTTGAATTTCATTCTCTAATAAAAAGCTGCTGAGAGAACCAAAGCAATCGTACTCATTGATTTGCAGACATTGATTTCAAAAGTTGAATTTCTTTAGCATGGCTTCTATTCTATCATGAACATTGAAAATGGTGATTCCTGGACCTGGTATAGACATATTTAGTTCATTTAATTGAGAAAAAATATCGACTAATTATGCAAGTTTTTGGAGCCAAGAATGTTGGATACAGTTCAAACAAGCGGGTCAAAACTTTGCCACGAGAAAGCCACCTAACTTCTGTATGAAGTAATAAAGAGATGGGAAGACTTCCCGCGCATAAATCTAGGAGGAAAATGGAGACGTGGGTTGCAAGACAACACTCTCAGAAATGGAGAAGTATCTCTAGACATCTCCGCCAGGCACGAGAGCTCATTGAAGGGCCCAGTGCTAAGGATGGACGCTTCTGCCTATCTCTGGGTAGAGCCAACCTAAGGTTGCTGGTGGGACTGTTGTCTGGCCATAACACGTTAAGGCGGCACCTGCACGTGATGGGGGTGGCTGAGGATCCCTTGTGCGAACGCTGCGGAGTAGAGGAAGAGACCTCGGCGTACGTTTTGTGTCGCTGTGAAGCTCTGAGCTACTATAGGCAGACTATACTGGGGTCCATTACTTTGGACCCTCAGGACGTCAAGGAGCTTGGACTCAAGGCGATTCTCAACTTCGCTAAAAGGGCGAGGCTTGTGATTTAAGTATTGCAGATGTGCATAAGGGCCCGCTTAAGCGGCCTATGCACTGGCTCCTTATGGTGGCCGGGATGCCTCTAAATTTTAAGATTCATTCATTCATTCCCAAGTCCTCACAAAGTTCACGGAATAGACAAGAATTTGTAGCACGGGACTTTATAAAATTCACAACTTTTACAGCTTCCCTTAAAGTTACTGGCTAACTCCTCAGGAATACGCTTATATGCCAATGAATACAGCAGTGACTCCGTTCTATATTCTCGTTGATCTTCTTTATTCGTGCCACAAGACCAGAATATGTTCCAGACATTAATTTTGCACCATCTGTGCATACACCTTAGCAAAATGACCAGTTGATTTCATGTTTTTCAAAATAGTCATTGAACAGATTAAAAATTGCAGCACCGGTCGTTTACGTTTCCAGTTGTTTTGCAAATAACACATCTTCTTGAATGGAATTCTTAAAAATATATGTAACATACATGAGCAATATTGCACAGTTTGCTACATCGGTCGACTCGTCAAGCTGGTAATAATTCAATTTTATTCTAATCAAAAGTTCACTTTCTACACTGTTCGCCAAATCGTTAATTCTCCGTGACACTGTGCTGTTTGATAAGGGCACAAGGTCAATTTATGGCCTCTTGAATTTCATTTGAAACAGCTTTTACAATTTGAGATGTTCGTTCAATAGCAGGCCTCCCGATGACAACCGTCATCTATTAAAGTTGTCTGTTTCAGAAAGTCGTGATAAATGTGTCTTGAAGCATTAGAGTTTCCACGAGCTATTCACTGACATGCATGCATATCTGCCATTTCACTATTAGTAAATTGAATCATATTGGATAAAAAATGACCACTAAAGTAACTTTTTGTGGTCCAGGGATATGGAACTTTTTTTTCTCGAAAACTAACCAAGATACGAAAAAAATTCAAGAGACCAAAAAGGGTATTTCTATTTGCTTAATCTAAACAACTTAATAAAAATTGCACAAAAGTCAGTGGCGTATATTTTTTTGTCGCAAACATTCGCTCAGATCCTGCTCGAGACACCACTGGACTTAGTAAATTTAATCAAGTTCCAACAAAATTAGGTGAAGAATATTTGAGAAATTTACAAATAAACATTTTTTTTAATTTTAACACCCTGTATCTTGAGAACGAAGAATTTTTGGACCTATGCTTATGTGAACTTTTTGTCTTAAAATTATTCAAAGAATCGTCTGTTAAATTTATAGTACATACTTAATTAACAGTCTGTATACAAAATATGGCTGTAAGACTTGAACTGCAGGCAATGTAGATCAATTCTTTGGGAAACCTATGCTATAGTCAATGAAGTTGCATACGTTGCTGCACAAATAGGAAAACTGTACCAATTAACTGCCAGATTGGATATTGTAAGCTATGATGAAATGACACGGATAGGAGATTTGCTCCTTAGGTTATTCTGGAAAGAAGAAGTGCAGAAATCTTGCCTTCCTCCACTAAACTCATATCTTAAGATGAGGTTGACTTTATGAAGAAATAGTTAATGATATAAAGAACTATAGTTTTGCAGAAGATGGATGCATTTACAAACTCAATTGAGGACTGTTAAAACAAATGTCAAAAACTCAGAAATCTTCTAGATCACTTTCTAATGGTTAAAGCAGCCTCTTGATGACAATAGTTGACCACCAGTATGTCTGCTAATAGTGCTTAATATGCAAAATAAAAGAACAGATATTTCTACAAGTGAAGCTTATATTACACAAGAATATACTATTTATAATCTTACAATGCCTTTGCACTACACTGCATTGTTTCAAAAATGTTTCACTTTCAATACAGTGAGGTTGTACAACTCAACCGACCCTGTCTGGAGAAGCAAAAGTGCTGTAACATTCAGGAAGCTGGTTAAAAATCAGTTGTTAGGTGTGTTGTTCTGATCTTTTCTTTATGTTTTTTTGTATTTTCATCAATTCATTATTAGTTCTCATCTGGTTCCTTTTTGGTAAACCAACATAGCATGAATTTGTCAATTGAATATGTTTTTCCTCTTCTTATTAATTCACTCAGTTGTTTATTATTATAAGAAGGCTTGGCAATAGTACACTGAGATCCCATCTATTGAGTAAACAATACTGGGGTGGCTTAGTTACTAATTTTATTGTGAGGGCGATAGAAGCAATGTTAGACTGCATACTAACTTGAGACCAGATTAACTGAATACTTTCAGACTTGAATACATTGCAAAATGTTTGGGAAAAACACATAAAAAATGCAAATCTTACCATTTGTAGTTGATAGTGGGCGCAATGAATAACACAGTAAGGAGCGTAAACCAGATTTTTGAGACCATTGGTGCTTTATCAGCTTTGTGCCCAAAATTTTTGTAGTAACGTTTCTGTTCATTATTATTGTAGCAATTTGGGTGAAGGCATACATACACAGGTCTATTCCTCACCGCTGGGTATAGTTTGCTACTTCTTAGCAGCCCGACATGAATTATTTTTATGTAATTCATTTTCGCGTTCAGTTACACAAACATGATATATGTTACCTAAATATGCATTCAAGACAAAAATCCGGATTTGTATGCTCTATTGCTCTGACCTATTTGATATTTTACACCACAACTTACACAACACTTCCCACTTCCTATTTTATACTTTACATTGACGCATTGTGACAAGTGACAACCATCAGCTGTTTTAAACATGAGGCCATGAGGCGTATTCGCGTATTTTTTTAATTCACCGGTTGGACCACCGCTACATCCGATTACCCAATTTTACGTCCTTTAATTTCCGATGGAACGACTTGTACAAGAAACTTGTCTTTATATTACTGGTGGACACGCCACCGGTGCCAACAGCATCCACCGGCATTCGGACACGGTACACGGTTGATCCAGATGATACAAAATAGTCTAACCTCTACCACAGAGTACTAGTACTAACCCTACCCTACATTTAACCATTTTTGACAACTGCGGTCTTGTGTCTCAAAAAATATTGAAATACAAGCAGAAAAGGTTGAAGTTGCGTTGCAACATAGGAGTGGCATCAAATTTAATGTATTTTTAACGCCATCCGAAATATGCAGAGCAGTCTTATATCATGTAACATGATCTAATAGGACAATAAACTATCTATCTATTTTATTTTGAATTACATATTTCAACTTTTTCTGATGTTCCGATTTATAGGCAGTTCTCTTATTGATTTTCTGGGTAAGTTCTTCTGATAAATCAATTTGAAAAAGTAGTTTCTACATGTTCCTGTACAAGCATCCTTTGAAGTTGAATAGATAAGGTATTGGGAAATAAAGCCTCTAGTGTGCCTCCACCACAGACCTTAAGCTAATTCATTAATGAAACTAGAATACTAGATATATAAATTTCCCAGAAGGAAATATATTGGATTCTATACAAAAGTCAAAACAGGGTCACATGGTTAGTATGAACAAAAGTATTCGAAAAAAACAGAGGTCATTACCAAAGCATTTTTTTAAAATAAATGAAAGAAATAGTTATGGAATAAGAAAGAAATTGATGCTATAAACAATTTAGCAGATGCTATTGGAAGTTCTCATCAATATGAAGTTGATGAATTATATTCAATTATATAGGAAGTGTTTGCCTTGAACAATAGTGGATATTTTCATGTTTGAGTTAAAGACTTTTTAGTTTCTTATGTATCTTATATCACACTGCTAAAAAATGAAAATGTAAACACATTTTGCCTTTATTTTTAGAAACATTGTCAGAGAATCCAATTGATGCCTATGATGTTTTTAGAATGATGGCGCAACGCCTCAGAGGACTGCATTTTTATTATAAAGTCTAGATAAATGTCGAATTCATATTTTAGTGTAGACATTCAAAATTATTTTCAATGTGTCTACTTATAATGAAGCCAACTACAAGCCGCGATGAACCTTCAATCTTTCACTCTCTTTTTTATACCGAAGCCGCGCAGGAAGAATCCTAAATGCCGGGACACCGCATCTACTATGATGATCCCAAAGAAATTTTGATAGTCCGATTTTTGGACTGTCTAAGGTTAGTAGAAATGGGAAAACCTTCCTCTTGTAGATTGTTAGATAATCTGGACATCCTCGGGGCAAAGGAGCGGTCATATCCACCAGTTTTAGATGTATGAAGTTCGAGACGGTTAAGATGGGACGCCAAAGTCAGGCGGGTATGTTTGGTAGGCACATCGCGCGGCGGCATCATAAAAGAGAGCTCTGAGGAGCAAAGTCCGTTGGTGTAGCGGTGCGAAAGAGTCCCGAGACTGTCTGTTAGAGAAGAGTCATCGATCAGTCGGACAGCCTTCCTCTGGACAGCATTGAGAATAAATAATGTAGTCGGGGCGGCAGCACCCCAAACGTGTGAGCAATATTCGAGGTTTAATGCAAAAAATAAAAACTATAAAAAAACATAACCTAACAATCTTGACACATTGACATTTTAGTTATCCCCACTATTTCGGAGAACATGGAATAAAAAGCTGGTGCATGAGAAGCAGGGGGTTTGAAAAATGAGTAGCTCGCCAGGCTTATTACCTAACTTCCAACCTACCGTCGACCGACTCAAGTTGGTCGATAGTTGCTGTCAAACGCAAATTTCGTATTATGTATCAGTCAGTGCGTCTCAACTAAGGTCTCAATCGCCGACCGGCTACGGTGGCGCCTCTATGGAGCAACTGATGAACGAAAAGTGCATTCTTTTGTTAAGAGTATCAAAAAATTGGTATTCCCTAACTCATTGACAGCGACCCAACAGCAACTTACTAGCGATTTGAACTGTCAAATTAACAACTGCTCTGTGGTAGTGTGGTAGTCGACTAGTCGGTCGCTAGTCGCTAGTGTTTTGTTTGGATAACATTGTCAAAACTATTCATTTTTCTAACAAGAAAGGCAACAAGTTCAAATAAGGAATAAAATAGCTTGACGTGTCTAAGAAGTGATTGTATGCTCCCAATTTGTATTTTCAGCAATTTTGATTCTCTGGATGGCTCGTGCATTTTTACTTATGGAAGCATTGGAAAGCGAAAGAATGCACGATCAAAGACGGCAATCTTCTCGCCTACGACGTATTTTTCAGTATCTATGACTTGAAGTTCATAATGATTATCAAATATATATTGCACATTCCTACCACAGTATAGAAACATATTGGTTTTAGGTATTAGCAGCACTTCTGGTGCTAGCCACTGGTTCCTGGCAGAAACATATTGGCATTGGTTTTTACATGGGCTCAGTCAACCTAGTGTATCCAAAGCACTGAGGGAAATGGTGGATGCATTAAATCATCCAGACATTCTATCTAAGCATATTTACTTCCCTCAAACACTGTTAGAGATTATAGTAATTATATTGCCATTATTAAGCAAGTGAGATTGCATATCAAAATTAAATGGTGGATCATTAACTGAGAAACCAATGAGTTCAGCTACATCAAAAAGTTTCAACACATGGAAGTTTACATTACCTGATAAAAATTCCATCGCTGTTGAAATTTCCTATTAACAAGAGTAATAAGTCAATATTCATCGATCCTAAGATCAATACCTCAGACTCATCATCTGTAAGATTAACACTACAGCAAAAAATCCGAGTCTTAATATTACACATATTTTAGGCAACATACCGGTTTCAGCACTAATATTTACTGATTTTTTTTTTACTTTAGTTGTAATTATTGTTATATGCCTGCTTGAAGATGAGTAATAATGAAAGATATATTTTTACAGGTGACTCTGGACACATCCATTAACACATTCAGTGCGCATGACTTTGATCGGAGTCGCCGCATTCCTAAGCGCAGTGCGTGCGACTCCAATCGGAGTCACCCACTACTTGCTACGGAAAGCGGCAGTCTGGAACGAGCGCGCGAATTAGATGCATGTAAATTTGGGAGCGTGTAGGAAAGGTATCAGCAGTGAAGAATTTGTGCTCTGTTTCCGGTTTCTTTTTTTGCTGGGTTAATATGGCGGAGGGTCCCTCAAAGTCCAAGAAATGCAGACCCACATTCAGAAACCCCAACAAGCTCACTGACGAGGAGCTTCTAGCAGCTTTGATGTATTCGAGTGATGAAGAGGATGATCTTTTGGGCGGAAGCGGTTACCAAAGTGATTTAGATCTTACTCTGGAACAGTGCGATTCTGAATCTGAGGTAGACGATTCAGCCGAAGGTTCTTTATATGAATTTATTGGCTATTTATGTTTCTATAGCAGAGTATAATTTTCAGAAACTCCACGTGAAATTCCAACAGCATTCAAATCTCTACGCTGAAAAGGTGTTTCGATCACAAGGAGTATCTGAACATTCCCGGATTTCGCGGTGGAAGCCAGTTACCTGCGAAGAAATGCTAAAGTTTGTGGCATTAGTATTACACATGGGCACCATAAAAATGAATCGACTGCAAGATTACTGGAAAAACACTCCCTTTCTGGCCTAACATGTTTTTCCAAGCACATGAGCAGGGACCGATTCCTGATTATTATGAGATGCTTGCATTTTGCGAAAAATCCTGTTGAAGGGGAAAACGTCACAGATCGCTTGTACAAAATAAGGTCCATCGTTAACTTTTTCAACAAAAAGATGTCGACGATCTACTCTCCAGGAAGAAATCTCGCGCTTGACGAGTCAATGGTTTTATGGCGGGGGCGGCTGGTATTCCGGGAATATATCAAAAATAAACGCCATAAGTACGGCATAAAAGTATATATGTTGACAGAACCAAGTGGTATCATCTTGAAAATATTGATATATACTGGAGCACTTGACGACAGTGGAGGCAAAGGTCACACAACTAAAGTAGTGCTGAACTTACTAGAAGGCCGTTTCAATCAAGGATACTCCGTATATATGGACAATTTTTATAACTCTTTTGATTTGGCGTTTCAGCTGACAAGGCGTGGTACTTACTGTACTGGAACACTAAATCCGAAGAGGAAGAATAATCCTAAAAGGGTTCTCACAAAGAAACTGAAAAAATGGGAAATGATTGCCCAATATTCCAATAATATTGTTGTAGGGAAATTGAAAGACAAACGTGACGTATTATATATATTTCTAACATGCACGATAATGCTATGGTTGAATACATCGACCAGAGAAATCGTACTAGGGAGAAACCAGCCGCCATTTTGCACTACAATAAGTTCATGGGAGGTGTTGATTGGCAGGATCAGCTCAGCTCATACTACCCATGTGAGAGAAAAACCCTCAGATGGTATAAAAAACTGGGTGTGCATTACATACATCTAATGTTATTGAATTCGTATCTAATGTATAAGAAATTTTCGAATTCCAAGTTGTCGCTGTACGACTTCAGGCTGGCGGTTTTGAGCAGTTTATTTTGAATTGAAACTACCAATGCAACACCAACAAGAAAGGATGCATCCAAACATGTTCTTTCAAAAATAACTTCACTTGCTAAGGATGGACGAGTCAACAGAAAGCGTTGTAAAGTATATTCGCAAAATAAGATAAGGAAACAAACGACACACCATTACAAAAAGTGTCCTGGGCAACCAGGGTACTGCGTTGGAGCATGTTTCGATAGTGATCATAACTAGTATTATGGCAATTTTCCATTTCTGTTTTTTATAAGAATCACACTTATATGTTTTTTATGTCTGTTTATTTTACTGTTTTTTACGATTCACTTTGTGAAAGAATAAAAAATGATTTTTTGTTACTGTTTGCATTTTTTACCATTTTTTGTTTCATTTTGTATCACAAAACACATTTTATAGGGTTTTTCTAAGGTCACCCTATCAATCTGTTTATCCACACACACCAATCTGCCAGAAATTAGCTTGGCTCCGATCGGAGCCAGTCAGCACCAGGAAAGAAATTCTTAGAAAGGTGCTCGTGACTCCGATTGTCATGAACTAAAAACTAATTAGCAGACTGAATTTCCGTCTACTACACATAGTATCCGTAATCTAACACCTTTACAAAACCATTTTAGCGAAAAAAGTATTGTAGCACCGAGGGTCCCCCACTACTGTAAACGGTAGCAGCGAATGTGCTAAGAATCGGTCTTACCAGAAATACCATAGAGTGATGCACAGGAGTAAAGTTTGTATTATCTACTGTATCGAACATTTTAAATTTCCATGAAATAATATTCATTGTCATATGCTTATGCTTACTGATAGCTCTGCTTTAAAAAGGTTTTATCAACCACTGTAAAGAAAAAGTTAATGGTTATAGAATTGGTTTTCTATGAAGGTTTATTTTCACATGTCCATATTCAACAATATCTATTTTAGAGGATTTGGAACAAGTCTAAAAGTATGCTTTGAGTGAAGATCAAGAAAAGTTGCAAAATGCATTTGTAACAAAAAGCACTGCCTTTTTAAAATATAGTTATAAAATTGCTGACCTTCTTTTTGTAATAGAACCCACAACTTGTTTACCAATTTAAGCATTAATGGTACTAAATACAATCGTAAAAATTTCAAAAAAAACTCGTTCCACAATCACTCAAACAGCCTAGAACTTCGCCGCTTGTGAAGATTAGTACTAATCGCTAAATGTGTTTCTAATGGGGACCAATTCCCATTAGAAAATGTATCAAATGCATTTCTACAAATACAATTTTTTTAATGACACTCCTATTTTATTTTCGTCAATTTGTAAAGCAATTATTTTAAATACAATAAAAAAAATCTTATTGTCTTAAATATGTTGAGAGACAAATTTTTTACTGTATTAAAGAGTTATAAATGATTTATGGATTGGAGGTGCCATTACAAAAAATAAGTCAGTGATTTTCATGAAATGATTTAAGAGAAGTAGTTTTAATACAAAAAAATAGGGCACTGTTACACAACAGCGATAGGAATAATATAATAAATTGATTTGTGCAAATATCTTTTATTAAAATGACAAAGATTAGGTCACACAAGTAAACAATAATCATAAAAATACTTTATCCTTTCTAAATTTCAATTAGGTTTGAAGTGTTTAGATGCTTGACCAAATTTCTTGTGAAATTTTTGAAGTTGCATTAATGCTTTCTCTGCCTGCATACAACTTTCATGCACCCTGCCTAGCTATTTGTAATTCTATATCTGATGGTGGCTCAACAGCTGAAGATGGAAGGAGTTGGTTCTGAAAATCAAAAAGCTTTTAATTAATATCTGAAGTTATGAAGCAATACCAAGTAGAAACTGAATTCATATGCAATTTTTCATTCTAAAACAAGATCATCACTAGTGAAAAATTAAAATAAAAATTTGTATTTTTTCCATTTGAAGCAGAACTTTGTACTTGTGGTCAAGTGTTAGAAGATGATGTGCCAGGAAGTAAAATCAAATTAAATGTGGTTTAACTAAGTGGGCAATAGAGATAGAGAATATAAACTGATTTTTCATTAATTAAAATTAATCCCATTTAAATTTATCCAGGAGTTATGTACTTACACTAAATGGAATTTGAAGTTCAGTATCTTCAAATACTGCTGCTGTTCCCAATATGGCTAATTCAGATAAGTTATCAACATTAACACCCTCCACCAGTACCTGTAGCATCCTGCCTATATTGTGCAGCTCTAGATTGTATCCTATGTTTAAGGTCTATCCAATACTGTAAAAAAGTATTATTGTATTAGTACATGAATAAAACCATATGGAACATGGAACAAAATGCCTTATTATAACCTACAGTACTAATCCAAGAAAATGACCCATGGAATCTGTGTAATCTATGTTGGCAAATATTAAAAGATGGTAGCAACTATTTGGACAAATACAAATACATTGAATCAAATAAACTATTTTCTACCCGTAGAGTACAAAAGAGTTTCATATAAAGTCTCATCTAATAAGAATTGAATTACTGAAAAAATGGATAAACGTCATCGTTTCTCAAGTTACTTAAATAAAAAAAAAGTTTTGGATAGAATATTGTGAAAACGTAGTCTTTAGGAACAATTGTGCTATTACACTGTTAAAGATAATTTTCTATTAATCAACATTGCATTTTTTCTTCTATGAAAAGTTCTACAACTTTTTTGAATTTATCTAATGAAAAGAGGGATACAACAGAATAATGACCAAAGCAAAAGGTTGTAATGTTATAATGAAAAATAAGATTCTACACAATTATAAAAATCATGAATTAGTGATGACAAAAGGATGAATAACAAAATGTAACATAAACTCACCCTTCTCCAGCATTGTCCATTTTTTGCAGCTCCAGATCCATGAGTATTCAGACATATCGCTAATTCGTCCCACTTTCTATTAATTGTCACCTTTGATCTCCCTAAAAGCCCAACACTGTCCTTAGCTAAATTAGGATGAATTTCTGCAAAGACAAGTACCTTATCGATTTGCAATGCTGAGATTATATTTCATTTTGCAAATTAACACAAATACCTCCTAGTCAGACAAAATCTCAAAGACAAATAAATACTATGTTCACGTTTTCTGATGCATTTGCAGCCTTTAATGAACAAGCAGTCATCTAGAACTATATAGGTAAGTGCCAGCAAGTGCTGATTGATTTAGATTTAGATAAACATCTGGCACTTGTCAATAAGCTGTTTTCACCCTCGCGTTATTTTGCATCGCTCTTTCTGTCTTGAGACAAGTCTTCAAGGCTAATCTATGTGAAACTGTGTCATCTATTTGTCGGCAAATGACTGTGTGTATATATTAAGTGTGTATCAAGGGTCCACTCTTGACTTATGTAAACATCCATACATCTGCGGCTCACACAGACATTCATTTTTAAGAACAGACCATCGTATTATATACTTACGTGTTCAATTTTCAACAAAACTAGGTCCCATAGTTAATTTTAAATTCACAATCACGATCCACAATGTATTTATTTATTTTTCGATTTATAAACACGACGATTGTTTATCATATGTATGTCACTTTAGTTCCACCGGTTGCTACTAGATTGCTAGTGGCCAGACTAGTGGCGCTGTTTCGGTCGCAAAAACTGCATTCAATGACAGTTGGGCAACCGGTTGCCAACTGCGTTAGCGAATACGAATTTTTCGGTCGGTCGACAATCGGTTGCTGACCGATCAGAGTTGGAAATTTTTACGTAATAAGCCTGCGGCAAGCTTATTACGTAAAATATTCCAACAATGATCGGTGAGCAACCGACTTGCGACCGATTGTCGACCGACCGAAAAATTCGTATTCGCTAACGCACTTGGCGACCAGTTGCCCAACTGTCATTGAATGCAATTTGAATGCAGTTTTTGCGACCGAAACAGCGCCACTAGCAATCGAGTAGCAACACTAGCAACCGGTGGAACTAAAGTGACATACATATGATAAATCGTCGTGTTTATAAATCGAAAAATAAATAAATACATTGTGGATCGTGATTGTGAATTTAAAATTAACTAAGGGACCTAGTTTTGTTGAAAATTGAACACGTAAGTATATAATACGATGGTCTGTTCTTAAAAATGTATGTCTGTGTGAGCCGCAGATGTATGGATGTTTACATAAGTCAAGAGTGGACCCTTGATACACACTTAATATATACACACAGTCATTTGCCGACAAATAGATGACACAGTTTCACATAGATTAGCCTTGAAGACTTATCTCAAGACAGGAAGAGCGATGCAAAATAACGCGAGGGTGAAAACAGCTTATTGACAAGTGCCAGATGTTTCTCTAAATCTAAATCAATCAGCACTTGCTGGCACTTACCTATATAGTTCTAGATGACTGCTTGTTCATTAAAGGCTGCAAATGCATCAGAAAACGTGAACATAGTGTTTATTTGTGTTTGAGATTTTGTCAGACTAGGAGGTATTTGTGTTAATTTGCAAAATGAAATATAATCTCAGCATTGCAAATCGATAAGGTACTTGTCTTTGCAGAAATTCATCCTAATTTAGCTAAGGACAGTGTTGGGCTTTTAGGGAGATCAAAGGTGACAATTAATAGAAAGTGGGACGAATTAGCGATATGTCTGAATACTCATGGATCTGGAGCTACAAAAAATGGACAATGCTGGAGAAGGGTGAGTTTATGTTACATTTTGTTATTCATCCTTTTGTCATCACTAATTCATGATTTTTATAATTGTGCTGAATCTTATTTTTCATTATAACATTACAACCTTTTGCTTTGGTCATTATTCTGTTGTATCCCTCTTTTCATTAGATAAATTCAAAAAAGTTGTAGAACTTTTCATAGAAGAAAAAATGCAATGTTGATTAATAGAAAATTATCTTTAACAGTGTAATAGCACAATTGTTCCCAAAGACTACGTTTTCACAATATTCTATCCAAAACTTTTTTTTTATTTAAGTAACTTGAGAAACGATGACGTTTATCCATTTTTTCAGTAATTCAATTCTTATTAGATGAGACTTTATACGAAACTCTTTTGTACTCTACGGGTAGAAAATAGTTTATTTGATTCAATGTCTTTGTATATGTCCAAATAGTTGCTACCATCTTTTAATATTTGCCAACATAGATTACACAGATTCCATGGGTCATTTTCTTGGATTAGTACTGTAGGTTATAATAAGGCATTTTGTTCCATGTTCCATATGGTTTTATTCATGTACTAATACAATAATACTTTTTTACAGTATTGGATAGACCTTAAACATAGGATACAATCTAGAGCTGCACAATATAGGCAGGATGCTACAGGTACTGGTGGAGGGTGTTAATGTTGATAATTTATCTGAATTAGATATGGCCATATTGGGAATAGCAGCAGTATTTGGAGATACTGAACTTCAAATTCCATTTAGTGTAAGTACATAACTCCTGGATAAATTTAAATGTGATTAATTTTAATTAATGAAAAATCAGTTTATATTCTCTATCCCTATTGCCCACTTAGTTAAACCACATTTAATTTGATTTTACTTCCTGGCACTCCACATCATCTTCTAACACTTGATCACAAGTACAAAGTTCTACTTCAAATGAAAAAAATACTAATTTTTTATTTTAATTTTTCACTAGTGATGATCTTGTTTTAGAATGAAAAACTGCATATGAATTCAGTTTCTACTTGGTATTGCTTCATAACTTCAGATATTAATTAAAAGCTTTTGGATTTTCAGAACCAACTCTTTCATCTTCAGCTGTTGAGCCACCACCAGATATAGAATTACAAATAGCTAGGCAGGGTGCACGAAAGTTGTATGCAGGCAGAGACAGCATTAATGCAACTTCAAAAATTTCACAAGAAATTTGGTCAAGCATCTAAACACTTCAAACCTGATTGAAATTGAGAAAGGATAAAGTATTTTTATGATTATTGTTTACTTGTGTGACCTAATCTTTGTCATTTTAATAAAAGATATTTGCACAAATCAATTTACTATATTATTCCTATCACTGTTGTGTAACAGTACTCTATTTTTTTGTATTAAAACTACTTCTCTTAAATCATTTCATAAAAATCACTGACTGTAATGGCACCTTCAATCCATAAATCATTTATAACTCTTTAATACAGTAAAAAGTTTGTCTCTCAACATATTTTTAAGACAATCAGACATTTTCTAAAGAGAATTGGTCCCCATTAGAAATACATTTAGCAATTAGTACTAATCTTCACAAGTGGCGAAGTTCTAGGCTGTTTGAGTGATTGTGGAACACCGAGTTTCGAAATTTTTACGATTGTATTTAGTACCATTAATGCTTAAATTGATGAAAAAGTTGTGGGTTCTATTACAAAAAGAAGGTCAGCAGTTTTATAACTATATTTTAAAAATGCAAATTACAAATGCATCTTGCAACTTTTCTTGATGTTCACTCAAAGCATACTTTTTGGCTTGTTCCAAATCCTCTAAAATTGATATTGTTAAATATGGACATGTGAAAATAAAGCTTCCTAGAAAACTAATTCTATAAACATTAACTTTTTCTTTACAGTGGTTGATAAAACCTTTTTAAAGCAGAGCTATCATTAAGCATAAGCATATGACAATGATCATTATTTCATGGAAGTTTAAAATGTTCGATACAGTAGATAATATAAACTTTAATACTCCTGTGCATCACTCTATGGTATTTCTGGTAAGACCGATTCTTAATGGATGTGTCCAGAGTCACCTGTAAAAATATATCTTTCATTATTACTCATCTTCAAGCAGGCATATAACAATAATGACAACTAAAGTAAAAAAAAATCAAAGTAAATATTAGTGCTGAAACTGGTATGTTGCCTAAAATATGTGAAATATTAAGACTCGGATTTGTTGCTGTATTGTTAATCTTACAGATAATGAGTCTGAGGTATTGATCTTAGGATCAATGAATATTGACTTATTACTCTTGTTAATATTAAATTTCAACAGCGATGGAATTTTTATCAGGTAATGTAAACTTCCATGTGTTGAAACTTTTTGATGTAGCTGAACTCATTGGTTTCTCAGTTAATGATCCACCATTTAATTTTGATATGCAATCTCACTTGCTTAATATGCATGGCAATATAATTACTATAATCTCTAACAGTGTTTGAGGGAAGTAAATATGCTTAGATAGAATGTCTGGATGATTTAATGCATCCACCATTTCCCTTAGTGCTTTGGATACAATAGGTTGACTGAGCCCATGTAAATAACCCATGCCAATATGTTTCTGGCAGGAACCAGTGGCTAGCACCAGAAGTGCTGCTAATACCTAAAACCAATATGTTTCTATACTGAGGTAGGAAGGTGCAAGTAAGCTTATTTGATAATCATTATGAACTAACTTCAAGTCATAGATACTGAAAAATACGTCGTAGGCGAGAAGTTTGCCGTCTTTGATCGTGCATTCTTTCGCTTTCCAATGCTTCCATAAGTAAAAATGCACGAGCCATCCAGAGAATCAAAATTGCTGAAAATACAAATTGGGAGCATACAATCACTTCTTAGACTCGTCAAGCTATTTTATTCCTTATTTGAACTTGTTATACTTACTTTTCTTGTTAAAAAAATGAGTAGCTTTGACAATGTTATCCAAACAAAAACACTAGCAACCGACTAGTCGACTACCACAGAGCAGTTGTTATTTTGACAGTTCAAATCGCTAGTAAGTTGCTGTTGAGTCGCTCATCAAGTCATCGTTGGTTGTCAGAGCGGTCCGTGGGACCTTAGCTCTTGAGTCACAGTGTCAGTTTGTAAGTCTGTCAGGTCCGGTAACCCAGAAACCAGACAATTTTAAGGAAAAAAGGGGAAGGAAAGGAGAGAAGGAAGAACGAGAGCAAAGGGGAAGAAGAGAATCTTTTAGGATAGGCAGCGTTTAGGCATTGTTAAAATCGCTTCACAGATTTTGATATGGTCTAAAAATATTTGATTTTTTCTAAAGATGCTCCAATTTTGGTTGTTCTAAGTTCACGAGTTAATTTTGATTACAGTGCGAGCTGCGGCCTTTTGTGTTTGCGAACTTGCTCGACTGTGTAGTCCACTGAATCACGCAACAGAGGGTTGCTGTGCGATTCCGCTAGGCTATAGCGCCGCTGCGCCTGTTGCTTAATGTAGTCCTTTAGGTAAGGGACATCGAGGTCTCTATGTAGAGTTTCGTTAGAGACATACCATGGGGCATCAGCAATAGTGCGCAACATCCTGCTTTGCAGAACCTGCAGACTTCGCATGTGTGTTTTAGCAATAAAACACCAAGCCGTACATGCGTAAGTCATTGCTGGTCTTATGGCCACCTTATAGAGTCGAATCTTGTTAATCAAACTTAATTTTGACCGTTTACATAATAATGGGTAAAGCTGCCGAAACGTAATTTGGAATTTAGTTTTTAGCGCTTCCATATGGTTCCGCCAAGTCATCCCTTTGTCCAGAATGACACCGAGATACTTAGCGGAGGATTCCCATGGTATACGAAGTCCATTCATTGAAACTTCAGACGGAACGCCGCGACGTCTTTTTGTACAGTAGATTGCCTGCGTTTTCGAATGGTTTATTTTAATTAGCCACCGATCCGCCCAATCTGATACTTCTTCCACCGCACTTTGCAGCCTGTCATGGACTAGGTCACCAGACCACGACTGAGCCACCAATGCAGTATCGTCAGCATAGAGATAGACTTCACAGTTGCTGGGACTAGGGACGTCATGGATGTACAGTGAGTAAAGGATAGGTCCAAGGACCGAACCCTGAGGGACGCCGGCTGTAATCAGCCGTGTTGTCGACAGCACATTGTCAATTTTGATCCGAAATTTCCTACCTTCAAGGAAGGATTTCAGTAGTTTTAGAAGCCAAAAAGGGAAGCCCTTTTGGATTAGTCTATACAAGAGGCCCGCGTGCCACACCTTGTCAAATGCTTTTGAGACATCCAAAAGCAAGATGCCAGTACTTTCGTTAAGGGTGAATCCTCTGGTTACACGTTCCACCAGCCTAACCGCCTGTAGCTCCGTACTATGTTCAGACCGAAAACCGAATTGCACGTCAGGAATCACATGGTGATCTGACGAGAAATTCTCAAGGTGACGTAGAATCACCTTTTCAGCGAGCTTAGACGCAGCTGACAGCAGGCTAATGGGACGATAATCCTGGGGAAATATCGAACCCATCTTCTTTGGAATCATTATAACTTCAGCGGTATTCCACGCGGTTGGGAAGTACTGGATCCTTAGTATGGCATTGACTATTGCCACGAGATAAGTTAAGGACTTTCGCGAAAGCAGCTTCAGCGCCTTATTAGTGATTTGATCCTCCCCAGGTGCTTTACGCTTTACGAATCTCTGCTGGTGTGCAATGCGGGATCTCAGGAGATACCGCTGATGTGCTAAGCAAATCTTCGGTTGAAGAAGCTTCTGAAGAAGAATCTTCTGATGAAGAAAAATCACCAACGAATGCGCGACTGTCACTGACGCCCTTGGCCCTAAAATATCTCCTGACAGATCTTACGATGTGTTGCTCCTCGTCGAGGTCATTATCAAGATCATAGTTGGGAGAGAACTGTCTTTCCATGGCATCGGCGAAAACCTCAACCTTCTCCTCTGTCCTGAAGACAATGCCTCCAGGACCGTGAATGTGTGGGATTTGTTCACGCTTTCCGTTTTTGAGCGACTTCGCCATCTTCCAGAGAGGAATGCTTGAGTCAAGCATCCCCGCCAGAAAGTCGTTCCATTGCTCATTGCGGAATTCATGAAGAGCATTTCTTACTTCATGAACAAGATTCGTCGCTCTGCGAATGTCATCAGGATGACCTTTTCGCTTGCTTAATTGCAGCTCTTTTATCAGAAATTTTCTGACGAATGTCTGCTGGCAGAAAAGGTCTGCCGTGTCGCTGCACGGGAAGTACAGATGCACGCTGCAGAGTTTGCTGAACAAAACTTGTCCACTCTGCTTGAGCCGCATCTATACCGTTCTCATCATCTATGATCGGTATATTGGGGAACTCTTTGAGGAGCGACTTGTATAGCTCCCAATCAATGCGTTTCCTTGGAGGGATTTCATCCCCCAAGATCTGCTCATTAGCCACTTCCAAAACGACGGGAAGATGATCGCTTGAGATGTCATACATGATTCGAGAAGTGATACTGTAGCTACAGTGTTTGGATAATGCCAAATCAAGAACATCAGGTGCCTGAAGGTGATTAAATGGGTGGTGCGTCGGCTCCTCAGTACTATGTATGAGGTAGCCATTTCGTATCACATGGTTGTACAGTCGGATCCCGCTGGTGGAATTCAACCTAAAATGCCATGCTCGATGTTTGCAGTTGAAGTCCCCTGCCACAATAAGTGGACCCGAGTAGTCTAAAAGGACTTGCAGATCCGCCTCTTGCAGCCTGTTACCACACCTGACATACACTGATGTGATTTTTAACGGCACACCTCCCGTCATATTGACCACCACGGAAGCCACTTCGATGCTCTGCATGTCAGCGTTTGTGCTTCTGTGGTAGTCAATACCGCGTTTCACTAGCACTACCAAGCCGCCACCCCGTCCAGTCAATCTATCAGCCCGGATAACATCGTAATTCGGGAAAGCTAGACGATCTCCCGGATTAAGTCATGTTTCCTGCAGCAAGGTCACATCTATACTTTCGTCCACAAGAGCTTGATGAAATTCCCGTCCCTTAGACCCAAACAATTCCAAAAAAGAATTTTGATAAATGCAGGCTGTCGTCGATTGTACCTAGCCATTTGCGGGAAAGATCGCCTGCAAAGCCTGTGTTGCGCTAATCAGAGGACCTATGATCTGCTGTAAGGACCTTAGCGCGGTTGCCAGGTCCACATTTTGCGTGTTCGCAGAAGATCCCACAGAGGGGGCAGCCCGGGTTGCATCCCTAGCTGCATCCGCGTAACTTACATTGCGCCTTTGCGCTATTACTTGCAGATTTTTCTTAGGGGCAAATCTGCAAGTTCGACTATTCGCTGGATGCCCCCCTCCACAGTTCGCGCACTTTCGTTCCTCTTGTTCTGTTTGAGGGCATAAGTGGGTCATGTGGTCAGAAGCACATTTTAGACATTTAGGTGGTGCAGTGCAGTAAGATTGCGCATGCCCATATTTTTGGCAGCGGTGACACTGCCCGATGAGTCTTGAGTTCTTTGAACAGCTGCTGAGATTTTTCTTGGGCAGTATGACTACCACCAAAGGCATGGGCACGCCGCCACCGCGTTTCAGGCGAATTATGTGCAGGGGGAATATCCCCTCTGTTGCAACTCTTCCTTGATCTCAATTTCCGAAAGTGTCGCATGTACTCCTCTGATTACAGCATGAATGTTCCTCTCGGAGGGTAGAGGGAAAGTGTGATGGGGCACCTCTTCCTCCCTGAAGAGGCGAATAATCCTGCGGCAACCGCGCGTTCGAATTTGATGCCCAAAGAAATAAACTTGTGATTTACGCCTCGCCATCTCGAAGCATCGCGAAGAACGATGGGGTAACACGTACCTTGCGTGGGGGCTGTGCAGTCGTGTCTTCTGGTACCTGAGATGTCGAAGACGTGGAAGTAACCGATAGATTAGGCACAGGCTGTTTATTCGAGTCGCTTGCAGTTGAATGAAACGTTTCAGACTGCGATTTTGGTGGAGGGAGAGGAGGAAAGCCTGTCGTGTCGGTCTTGTTTCGTCGCGTTTTACGGGGCTTAACCTTGGTAAAACCGTCAGGGAGTGTATCGTCTTCTATGGAAAGATCGCTTGAATTATTTAACGGTCTCTTAAGATTGACAGCTTTGTCTTTACTGGGATTTTTGGGAAGTGTTTGGGAAGAATTTGTAATATTTAGATGGGAAGGTACCTGGGTTTTCAGTAGGAGGTCTAATTTAACTGTTAGGTCGGTAATTGTCCGCTGCTGGGCTTCGATGATCATCATCAATCTTTCATTGGTCTTCTTATCATCGTCCTTTTTTGACAGCTCCTGTCGAACCATCTCCAATTCGGCTCTCAGCTCCTCTATGGTCTGCTCCTTCGACTCCATCTCCATTGCCATGGTGGAAGCGCCATTTCCTGACCCCCCTGGGTCAGTTTCCATAGTAAATACCTCGGTTATCTCGCTTTTCGTCTAAAAAATTTTCCGTATCGAAATTACGGGACAGCTGCTATCAGTGCCCTATACAGGGCGATTTGTTGAGTCGCTGTCAATGAGTTAGGGAATACCAATTTTTTGATACTCCTAACAAAAGAATGCACTTTTCGTTCACCAGTTGCTTCATAGAGGCGCCACCGTAGCCGGTCGGCGATTGAGACGCACTGACTGATACATAATACGAAATTTGACAGCAACTATCGACCAACTTGAGTCGGTTGACGGTCGGTTGAAAGTTAGGTAATAAGCCTGCCGGTGCATGACACTAGATCACTCACAAAACATATGCACTGAAGAAGGTTTAATTCCATGCTATTCAATGGCAACACGGTGACTTGCTCAGACTAAAAATATAAATAGACTTACCATTCTTACGGCACTGTAATGCATGAAGACAAACAAACCCAATTCAAAACAAATACAAACAATAAGCTGTGAATGTGCAGACCACAGCTGATTCCACCAGTGGCGTAGGTGCTTTTTTTGTAATGGTGTTCTGGTTAATACACCCAGTATCACCTTCCATGGCAGTGAAAAGAATAAACACAAGGTTTTATTATTGGAACTTAATTATCAGGTTTATTCTCCAATATCGTATTTATTCGCTTCAAATGGTTTGTCAATGCTTGAAGAGACCAAATTTTGTTTGCTTGTCTTCTTGATTTGGCTCGTAAACAGTCAATTGTCTTTCTTTGTTTCTTATACGTGTTTTGAATGACTTTCCAGCAAATTGGCCTTTTAAGTGGGTTTTCCAAATCAGTATAACGTATATCGCCGAAGTATCGAATAGGTTTTGTTTTCATTCTGAAACATTCAAAGCTTAAATGCTACTATAAAGCAAACGCCAAATCTACATAAACGTCACTTTTTATCAAATCTTTACTTACTACAGGTTTAATTACCACCAGACTATACTTGAAAAATCAAAATAAAAGCTTAATACCTTTTCCGTGGAGGTTCACCATCACTATCATTTTCTTTGAGGTTATCTTCCTCATTGTCACCTTTTGCTTCTATGAATGTGTTTAAAATCCTGAAATAATGAAAATACAATGCACCAAAATAAAGACTGATATTAGCTGGCTGAACTTGAAAATAAAAGTAGATAGGTACGTACATCATATCTAATTCTGAGGCATGGGTACGGGACTGTGGTATCACTGGGATACTTCCAGTACCTGATTGTGAAGCACTTAATGTAGCGGATTCAGATAATGACTGGGTACCTGACAGCAAAGCTGATAGGGTCCTACTATCTGTTGTTCGATCTTGTTCAGGAAAACTGTATTCACATACCATTTCTGTTGCTACTTCTGGTGACTTTATTTGTTCTCTGTAAACACTTCAATAGTCAAACTTCTAGATACTTAGGAGATTATTTAATTTCATACCTAGGTAGATCCCTGCTTTCCAGTTGTTCACTATTTGAATGGCTTAGGGCAATTTCCTAGGCAAGATTGATTTCATTCTCCTCATCACTGGAACCACTTTAAAATAGATAAGTAAAAGTATAGCAACAAAATATTCCATTTCATCCAATAGCTAAATATAATTAAGGACTTACTCTGTTTGCCTCAAAGGCTCTACTGATGGAACTGCTGAATGCTTTAGTTGAGTTCTTTTGCCTTCTATTAAATCACTTTTGTGAAAATGATTTGCGCAAATAAAGGCATGAAGTGGTAAATTATTTATGTCAATACTGAGGATAGTGCACCATTCTTCTTGTTTTTTCTTATCACTAGGAAACCTGAAAGATCAAAAACGTGTCTAACAGAAGAGTATTTTTTGAAAATCACCACAAATACAGTGTAAAAACAACCAATAACTATAAAATGTCTATTTCTTAATACTAAAAATCACAACGCATCCCCATGCGCTACGCCCTTGTCCTCCTCTAACCTCTAACTCACCTGTGGAAGGTTGCCTCAGTTTTTTCACTGCTAACTCCACAAAGAATGCACTGCCGACGTTCCATTGTCTTTGAAAATTGTCTATCAATGATAACAATACTATAATTGCTGCTAAAACAACCTGAAAACACTTTTGAATACTCGCAACAAATTCACTGTGCACAACAACAAACACCAGATGTTTGTAAATTCTGTGTACGCATCCACCACTTGCCGTTGAACACCGTTGCCACGTTCGGCAAAAAGTCGGTAGAAATGTGCTACTTTCGAATGAGAGCAAGTTTCGTCCAAGGTGGAACAAATCCAGTCAAACAACTGACTGGGCAAAATATTATGTGTAATGTTCGCTGCGAATTACCCAACATGAACCTGCATCCGTTTTGAATTGAATTTACGGCGTGTCGGCCACCTCTGTGACCGTTTTTGCGAGTATAAACAAATATGAAAAGAAAAATAAATCTTTAAAATTTAAAATGTCGTTGACAACTGCCTAGGAGCAGTTGTTTGATCGACCCACGATCGACCGGAGCGTCCACACCTTATTTAAGTCCACCTTCATTTCGGGCGGAGTGCACACCAATATCTCATTCTATTTTCAATAGATTTTTCAGTATGGAGAAGTGGCAGCGTCGCATATATTCGTTTACCGTAAATACAGTTATGTTGACGACGATATTTTGTAGGGAATTATTTGTCTATTTATATTTTTAGTCTGAGGTGACTTGTATGGTTGTCAGCGACCATTTTTTGAGGGTGCGACATGGTTGCCAGATTGTGCATTCATATCCCGCAACGTTGCCAGCTCTACATATAAATCTGAGATTGCTATACTTATATATACAGGGTGACTTCGAAGTTGAGTCATTTATTTTAACAGTGAGTAGTTCTGATCAAAAGAAATGTTTTTTTCCTTCACCATTTTTCTGGTAAAATTAAAGTAACAAAGTTATAGCCCTTTGGAAGTTTGAGTACCGCCCTGTCTCAATAATAATATTATGTGCTCGTGTTTGGCGACAACGGATATAATTCGCCTTATCGGTTCATCGCATCGGAAACAAAAAAGCGAAAGAATTTGGAACGATGTTTTTACAATTATTTCATTCAGTTGTATACAGTCAGTGTCAGTCGGTAGTGGATAGTGGTGTCTGTTGCGTGGCTCAAACGAAATAAAAAATGGCACATGTTTATGCGGATCGGTTTCCCAATCGAGTGCGACCAGCCCCTCGTGCCTTTGTTAATGTAGTACAACGGGTTCGTGAATCATTTGACTTAAGACCTCACATATGGACGGCATGCCGGTGCTCCAAGACCTCACGATCAAATACAGGTCCGCACTGAAATACTTGTCGGGGGGATACTTTATAAAACAAGGTAAAATTTTTATTTTATTTTTTTTTATTTTTACACACATATTTTCGTTTATCTTCCTTCTACAATCATTATCTGAAAATTAATGACTTAACTTCAAAGTCACCCTGTATTAACATTTTGCGCTATCTTGACTAATAAATGTTTTTTTGTATGTAAAATAGCAACGTCAATAACACAAGCTGTTATAAGATCACTCATATCTACTTACTAATCTGGAAAGATTCAGAAGAAAAATGCAAATACTTAAATATATATTTGTTATATAAATCTCATACATTTTTCTACAAACAAATCAGTATCATCATTATGGTCCAGATGTTTTCACTCCCCAGCCTTTGTTGGCACCTGCATGAATCAAAAATTAGAAAAAAATTTAATTGTGCTGATATGTAACTACAATTCACAGGTTTCGTTTTTTATTATAACAATAATATGATTGTCCACGGGTATTCACAGGAATTTTTCTCAATGTGCATATCATCATCAAGAGATAACTGTTACCACAGCCCCCCTGAGGGCACCCATGTTATTGTTAAATAACAATACTGGGCTTTGATTTCATTAAAATTATAGTGAGCTTTACATATCAACCCTAGTGCTCTGACAATAGCTGATTTAAAACGAAGTATGAAAACTAACTTGGACAAAAAGCAGTACAAATCATCACTAGTTGAGTCATATAAAAACTTACAAATGTTATGTTCTTCAAATATCCTTCAGAGCTGAGCCTTTTGGTAAGATCAGAAGTAATCTCTGAGCTTCTAATTCTCAGGACCTCAGGGTTTGACAACGGCAGCTGTTGAACTTTTCGTGGGGCTCCACTATTCGAAGAGTGATGTGGAAATACAAACAGTTACGATCTTCAAATATTAGATTCCTAAAATGAGTAACCGCTGCATCTCTGATCTTCCTCAGGATCTGCCAGAAGCCTGGCTAATGACTTGGATCACCTTAAAAAAGATACAATTTTGATGTGGAGTTTGTCTTATAGTATTTACAAACATAGGTATTACAGCTTTGAGTACTTACTTTGTTATACTTCACAACTCCGAACAAAATGCATATGGCTGAAATAACATAATAGGGGCTTTACTTAATTAAAATGAAATGTTAAGAAAATGACATGCTGAATGCTGAAAAAAGTAAGTTTATTTTTGCAAAGCAAAGAGCTCAGGAAGAAACCCGCCGGAAATTTAAATCTGGCCAATCAAACAACGTCAGTTGTGAATAAGTCGCCATTTGAGGGTGCGACATGGTTGTCATATTATGCCCCAGCAACACTGCTTTGTTTCCCATTCGCCAATAGTATAATCAAATCCAAGCGAATAACCAAAATGTCTGTGTTATGTGCCGCGGTTATAATATGGTTCAAGATGACACACGGGTTGATGACGTCAGTTACACGTATTGCTTGAACGCGTTGGTTTAACCGCGGTTTTGTTGCTAGTTGTTTATTTTAGAAAAGCGCGTATATAATCTCTGATTATTTTTATTATCACTTAATAATCGGTGCTTTTTCGTCTACAACTGTATGTGGAAAGTTTAAATAAGAAACCTTTCATAATATTCATGGGAGAAATTTTTTTTTCAGATTTTATTTTTTTAATGATGGAACCATGGCTTTGTAGCTATGATAACTTTCAATTCTCTAAATTTTTCCGCATGTCAAAGAAAACATTTATTGATTCAGCAGAAATGATGAAAAAAGAAAGTAGCAAAACCGTATACAGGTGGATATCATCTAGTAAGTTTATATGGCCATATTTTGATATTCTTGTGGTATATGGCTACACAGGATACTTTGTTAAGCATAGGAACTACATTTAAAGTGTCCCCAACAACCGTAATGAGTATAACTAATAAGGTGCTCCACTTTATGGTAAAACTGAAGTCAGCCTGTATCATTTTTCTCAAAAATGAAGCTGAAGTACGATAACAACATCCAATACCCGGCAAAATTCTAACTTGTTACATTTCAAATAATAACCAAAAATATAAAACTACTCTTGAGTTGGGTAAATACCACAATTTTGCGGTGATAACTATGACATATAACAGCTGATTCGTGACGTCACGGATCTTATAACCAAACTGATAACTACACTCGCTTGAACGGATCGGTAAATACCAATCCAAAATGGTAAATACCATTTCCATTTGGTTATCCACTTGAATTTGATTAATATTGGTGTATTTTTTAATTCACCGGTTGAGCAACCGGTGCCACCGGTGGACCAGACATCCGTCCTTTTAATTCAACCGGTTGCTGCCGTCACCATACAAAGCTGTCAACAGTGTCAACCATAAGCACCGCATCCATCAGTGGTGGAATCAACCGGCGAATTAACGAATTCACCTTATTCTTTAATTCACCGGTTGATTCCATCACTGATGGATCCGGTGAACCTATGGTTGACAGCTGATGTGGTGACGTCAGCAACCGGTTCCCTTGAAATACAAGACGCATTTTTAGCCTTCAGGTTGCTGTCGTATGAGAAAACCTAACCTTTGTTTTATCGCGAATGGACGCTTATTAGTTTGAACTCCCTATCATTTAAAATCATTATGGCAATTTACGCAGCAGTTGGTATTGTGGTGGAACGTCTGTTAAGCGAGTCGAGTAATGATTCGGATGAAGAACTGCAGACATAGTTAAAACTGTGGAGGATTTCAATACTTTGCGTGGCCAAAATTCTTCTTCTCTATAGCTATCAAAAGTGTAAAAGACAACTCGTACTATAACAGCAAGGGCTACTACTCAATGCTTTTGCAAGTTATTTGCAACAGTAAAAAAGAATTTATAGATGTGTTTTGTGGATGGCCAGGCTCATCACATGATGCCAGGATGTGGACAAATTCACCAATCCATCATAGAATTGAAAATAAAGGTTTGATTCCTGATGAATACCATCTGCTTGGTGATTGAGCATACCCGCTCAAAAACTATTTGTTGGTGCCATTCAAAGATAATGGTCATTTCAGCAATGTGCAAAAAAGATTCAATAAAAGATTATCTAGTACAAGAGTCATTGTGGAAATTGCAATTTGTCTACTTAAAAGAGTTTTTCGTAAACTTAAATATATAGATTTGATAAATATAGCAAATTTCAAATATATAGTTGTTGCAGCTTGTATACTTCATAATTTTCGTTTAAAATATGATAATGAAATGGAGCTAGATAATAGTGATGGCTATGATGGCTGTGATGAAAATTTTGAAGGGAGAGCTTGTGCCTTTGGCAGAAATAAAAGAGAGCACATCATGCTTCAAATGACATAGATTTCTGTATGATTACCCACAGATAAATTTTGATACATTAGTCGTATTTATACTTATATATTTTGTATAATAATTACATATTTTTGTAAAATGCACATTTGTTTTTGGAACTCTTTTTGATGTCATATATATATGGAAATAAAATATTCAACACACATAATATGTATTTAATATGTACCTGAAGGAATATCTTAACTACAAATTCAATGCAAACATTTTTGAAGGGTTTTGCAGATTACCCAGTATTTATATTGTGTGATCTGCAAAATCCTTCGCCAATTTTTTTGCCAGCATTCTTCCGCCAAGCCAACTTTTGCTGGGCGTACTGGTGAAATGAGGAACTCAACAAATAAAATAAATTATTATTTATTCAGGCAGCAGCGGTAAACTCTTCGGTCTCCTGATCAGTCGCCGTGCGGGTTCGAATCCCGTCCAAAGAGAAATTTTTCCCTTGGCACTGGATGTTATGATTGTCCCGGCGTATCTCATAGGCGGGGCCAGAATGTGTGCATGGTGCATGCACACGTGTTCCCTTGCAAGAGTCCCTGTGGCATCCCCCCCTTCACCCCTGAATCCCCCTATAGCCCCACGGTACCCCATGGGTGTTTAGGCCTTCGTGGTAGTTGGAGTATAAAAATAAATGCCTTAGTATTGGTAACTAACAATAAAAAAAACGATGAAAAAGGATTCA